TGCTTCCCTGCAGGGTGGAGCTAGAGTGCAGAGTACTGGGAAAGGGGCATGTGGGAAAGGAAGAATAAACTGAAAAATAGGACCAAGCACCTGGTTCTCCTAACTTGAGAGGCACTCAGCTGGGCCTCCGGAGAGCAGGGTTCAGTTCCAAGACCAGAGATGTTTGACACTTCCAGTATTTGCTTTGTCTGGTCACATTGCAAGCTCTTTGGGGCAAGGACGGTCTCTCACTCTGTGTCTGCACAGCAGGTCCCTGGGGCCTGCAATCACAAACAAGAGTAATGGAGTGTTTTTCATTTGTACGCTCTTTGCCCAGACCGTGTTTCGTTCTTTTGTGCAGCAGCATCATTTCTTATGTTTGGTTCCAAAGAGACAGAAATGTAGTTTGTAAATATTCAGAGACAGAGGGAACACTCAGCTCCTACTGGAAAATAACAGCCCAGTGGCCCAAATACCAAAGCTTTCTGCCCCCTCTAGTCACTCTGAGGGCTTGTTTCCTGTTGATAAAATGCTTTAAATCAGTTTCAAACCTCATCCAGGCTGGCATTCCTGGGCTGGAACCTAGCAACACAGCAACGCTTGCTTTGCATTTCTCTTACAGATGCAAACCTCAATTTGTTCAGTCCATGCTCACATGAGTCAGTCCCACTCAAGTAAGCGCTACTCCCTTGAGTAAATGTTTTCAGGATCAGCCCTGTAATCTTTATAGAAAACCACTTTCTAGGCTTAAAGCCAAAAGTGGCCTCAGGGGAGAGTTCAAACCAACCGATATTTTTTCGCTGAAAGGCAGATTTTGATTTTGTATTTTTTTTTAAAGAAACTATAATCTCTCCATTAAACTCATCTCCCCCTTGGAAATGAGGGATGTTTTTTCCCCATTCGCTTGTGTGTGAAAGGTCTGTATACATTCTTCTATTCTGCTGAACAGCATTATTAGAAGTTGATTGTGCATGGAGCTATATGCAAGATGTTCTTTATCTTTAGCTTTGTGAGATGTTAGGAAAGGCATTTCAGGTCTTATCTGATTGTGTGGCCATGCATACAAACAGGGTTACTCTTAAACGCATGATGAAAAAGTGAATACATTTTCTTTAAAACCTCTAGTTTGGTAATGATGTCTGCAGCATCAAACTGCCTGATGTAGGCAAGGCATAATTTTATTAGCCTAGATGAAAGACAAATATGACCTCATTGTGTTTTGTAAAAAAAACATTATTTTGAGTCTGTCTGGTTCCTCCTGCTAGCTTGCCCAACTATGTTATTCAGTAATGTTTCGCCCATGAGAACTTCTCTGGGAATGATGTGCAACAAGAAAGAAAATAAGGCCAGGTTGGGTCTGACATCTATTTCCATGGTTTTGTTCTTGCTCTTTGAGCTCTCTGTCACAGTTACAGACCTCACCTACACGTTTGAGATGCGCATGTACTGGCTACAGTACCTATTCACTTCCAGATACACTTCACAGTATAGGTTATGTTTAAAGGCCTGAATGATCTGGGATCTGGCTACTGAGAGACCAGCCTCTCCCACTTTGATCCATGGTAGGAGTTTTTATCCATTATATCAGATATAATGTAGAGTGAACTTTCCACTGCCCTCAACAGAGCATTTCTAAGGTGTAGAGCCCAGAACTGAGACTCAGGAGACATGGATTATATTCCTGGTTTGGCCACTGGCCTGCTGATTGACCTTGGCCAAGTCCCGTCACCGCCCTATGTCTCAGTTTCCCCATCTGTAAAATGGGGATAATGGTGCTTATCTCCTTGGCAATGCACTTTGATCTCTACCGAGGAAAAACACTAGATAAAAGCAGGGTATTATTATTATTTAATTTATTCGCTCTGTCATTCAGCCAGAACCCACATTTGCGAACTCTAAGAGCACCACATAAAGCGTGCATATTTCCTCATAGATATAGCTGGCTAATCATATCAGCAGCTCAGGAAATTGTGAGGTTTCAACATTTGTTTCCATCCTGAATGGGCATGACAAGCTGAAATACTGAAACTTTTCACAAAACAAAAAGGTCCAAACATTTTCAATTCAGAAATGTCAATCCAAAACATTTTGAGATGAAAGTATTTATCATCACATTGACGTGTCAACATTTTGTGGTTTATTTTCATTTTTGAAGACTGAAAAATTTTGGTTTTCCAATTCGATTTGAGGATTTTCATGGATTTGTCCCCTTTTCTCTCGCTTTTTCTGACCTCTTTTCCACTGGAAAGCAGGGGAAAAGGTAGAAAGTGCGAAGAGGAGGGAAAAACCTAGCTGTCACCCATTTTTACTGTTTCCCCCCTTTTCTAGTTGGCAAGAAGGTTTTTCCTCATATTCCAACATTTTGTTACTGTTTTCTGTCTTTTACTAGTTAAAAAGCAGGGGGAAAAGGTGAAAAATGAATTTTTGTCTCCAGATGGAAAGACCCCCTCCCCCAAACAAAATCCCGAAACTGAAAAGGAAAACTGGAATTTTTTGGTTTACAAAAATTGAAATGAAGCACAAAATGTCTAATTTCATTTGCAAATTCAGTAATGCCCCCAAAAAATCAAAAACAAAATGGTCAAAATCACCATATTCCTAAAATTTTGATGTTGGCTAATCCATTTCTTTTTCTTGTGGGCAAAAATGTTCATTTGATATTTTTTTTGACAGATTCTACTATTAATTTATTGGAGTGAAGTTTCCCTGGGTTTGGTTTGGTTTGGCTTGGTTTTTGTTTGGGTTTTTTATATTTTGTTTGGGTTTTTAAAAATTCTTTTGTGCATTTAATGAGCAACTAGGTTAGTGGTCTATCACTACCCAAGCAGATAGTTGGTTTCATAATGAACCACAAAGCACTCAGATGTTTTGTCAGTGGACATGAGACACATTTGTAAATATAACAAAACTATTAAAATGGCAGGACAGGTACCTGATCAGACTTTCATCCTGCATTTTTGTAACCTCCATTCTTAGGCCTCAATTCGGCAAAGCACTTTAGCATGTTCTTAACTGTAAGCATGGGCTGAAGTCACATTGACTTCAATAGGACTAAGCACCTTTCCTGACTAGAGATGCTTTCCCAAATAAGGGCCAAAGTGAGTCAGTGGGTCAGTGACAAGTAAGAAACAATTAATTAATATTGTGATAAGTTCACGATAACTTAGGAATTTGATGGTTGCTGCTATACTGGAAACTGTGGCTACTCAAGCCTTAACAGCTATGCCAGGGATAGATGATTAGACCCTTCAGTTCCAAAAAGCATCAATCTCTATCTCTAGTGCCAAAGGAGAATCTGCACTAGCTATTAAAAGAGGAACTATAATGCAAATCTGGACAGTTCTGATACCATCCAACAGAGGACAATGGTGCACATACATGTTAGTTTATTACCAGTATCTTGATATTAGCCACCTTGCTAGCATACTTGAAACTTGCAAGTTACAACTTCATTTGGGTTTTTTTTTTTTCGTTCCTGTCCAAGCAGGGCCCTTTACATCTGCATAGTTCACTTGAGATGTAATCATTAACATTTAGATCAGAAGAGGAATCTCTTTAAGGATGGGAGGGCATGTTGTGAGAAGACTTTTCCACTCCCACTAGTGGTGAGAGGGGGAGGGGCATTGCAGTGCTTAGAAAGGTAATTACCTTCCCAGCCATGGGGTGAGGTATGGGGTATACAAACAGCTAAGTACATGGGTGTAAAGAGAAAGTAGGTTAGAAAGAGGGAAGAATTAAGGGGTAGATTGGCTGCCATTGAAGTCAGGGGCAATATTTCCACCGACTATTGTGGAATGAAATCAGACACAGAATTTTTATGGCCCTCACCAGTCCAAGTTCGTTGGTTACTGCATCTTTCTTGTGAGGGTTCCTCGTGTACTCACCTGTGTTGAACTGGTTTGATTGGGGTCAGGGAGAGCACTTCCATATGTGGCTGGAGTCCTTGGAAAAAAGGAGAATAGAAAGTTACGAGAGGGTAAAGTAAGGATTATCGCTCACAGAAAACCCCTAGGCTTGCAAAGATGTTTCTGTATGGGACTCACACATCATCTGATATATTAAGGTGAAGAATTGGATATCCATAAAGGAGTACTAGCAAATTGTGTCCGTTTTCAAACACTTTGCTTTGTCAGCTTCACAAATTTAAAATCAATCAGTTGCAGTATAGATCAGTTGAACAGACATAAAATCTTATGGTTATCTCTCTGACAAAAATCTGAAAATTAAAAATGAGTTTTTAAAGACTCTGCTTGGCAAACTTCCATAATACTAAAAACGGGGTTCCTTTACACCCATTGGTGTTAAAATAAATGCTGAAAAAGATGACAGCAGAGGGTCTTTTCATAAATTGGAAGGGGAGGGGGACAGTGCTGAAAAGTAAGTGCTCTAGGAATGTTCATTTCCAACAGGAGCTCCATGTTCTTAGTGCACTGTCACAAACATGAGTAGAAAAACCAACTACAAATAAAGAATCCGTGGAACCTCTGGAGAGTTGTCATAAATCTGTAGCTTTTGTATCCTACAGTGTAAAACACTAAAAAGCATTCATTTAAAATGAAGCGTTATGTCCAATATTAGTTGCCTAATGTCTCTCATTTGGACATCAATTATAAGTGTACTGACAAAAAATTTTTTTCCATTTGTAAATTATTTAAGTATGAGTGTTAGCTTTTGCAACCCTAATAAGCTCAAACTTGTGGCACTAAGCTGTTTCTCATTGGATTGTTATTATTATTATTATTATTATTTATTATGATTTATTATTTATTATTAACAGCATCATAAATGTGTCCCGTGAAGCATAAACCCAAAGCATTTACAAATGGTGGCGAGATCTTTCAGTCCTTGCAGAGCAAAATTCCCATTTGAGACTTTGTGGAGTCAAAATGAAGTGAATGGGAATTGTGGCGGAGTACGGACTACATGACCAGGGTCATCACCATCAATTTTCCTAGGTTAGACTTTTAACATAAAAATTGGGCAAGGAGCATATTCAGCTGAATGTCTGTCTTTCCCCGCAGTGGCCTTCCTCTGCAGACAGCACACGGTGCAGTTTTAGCACATTCCAGCGGAGGCTCCGGGAGCTCCAGTGAGTCCGAGAGCAGCTCCGAGTCCGATTCCGACAGCGAAAGCAGCTCCAGTGACAGTGAGCATAACGAAGAGTCACGCAGTGCAACTCCAGAGGTAAAGCTATGAATTCAAGTCCCTTCTCCCAGCACACTCTCAGGAAAAAGCCGTGTCACTGAAAGCGAAATCCTTTTATCCTTCAGAAAACATAAAAGTCCTATTCTGTTTATTGTTATTTGCTTTCTTCTCCCTTTATGCTGTCAAACACATGATCCACACACTCTTTTTAGCTTTGGGGAAAACCTTCTGGCCCACATTTCAGTTACTTCAGAGAAATATTTAGATTTTTGTCCAGTACCAGAGAAGATTTTATTGACACAGTATTTGTCTGGGACGAAGGAAAGGCAACATAACAAAAATTATATCTTCAGGGACCTGCTTAACTTTTTCATTGTATTAAATTTCTCCAGGGCCACATTGTAAACTAGCTAAGGAAGCCTAATTAACCATACATTCTATAGTAAAAGTAGCAATAATCACTGATTGACTGAAATAAAAAGGCTGTGTTAAAAATGTAATTGTGGTTTAAACTAAAATACATTGCTTCTCTAAGATTTGTTTCCTATCGTTCTTCGATCTGCAGCCTGAACCTCCCTCAACAAACAAGTGGCAGCTGGATAAATGGCTAAATAAAGTGAATCCCCATAACAAGACCATTATCAACAACCAAAATGAGACTCATAGCGAGAACAGTTCTCAGCCTCAGAGCAGCCAACAGACTGAAGGACAAAATAAAGGGAAGCTTAATAACAGTCTGCCCCAGACCGATTCCAAAGACAGGGCCGTCCTTAGTCCCATCCGGGAGAAAGCCAAACCACGAGTTGCCCAGAAAACTCCAGAGACAAAAAGCTCCAAGCAGAAGTCACCAGCTCATAATGAGCCAACTTCACAAAGGACTCCTGGGAAAAAACAACCCAAAAAGGTAGAAAGGACTTCCAGTGTAGAAGAGTATAACTGGCCCAAACCAAATAATACCAGCAACACTCCCAAAGAAAAAGATACACAGGAACCACCAGAGCAGCCAAAGGTTCGCACAAAAGCAGCCGTTGGAAAGACAGCTCCAAGAAAAGAACCAAGGACTAGCACGGGACTTGCTTCTGAGAAGAAAAAGTACAGAGGCCCGAGCAAAACTGTCCCTAAATCCCGTGAATTTATTGAAACCGATTCATCTACTTCTGATTCAAACACAGACCAGGAAGAGAGCCTGCAGGCTAAAACATTACCAGCTTTCAGTGGTCCTGCCAATGGCATCAAAGTAAAGGACTCCAGTAGTAACATCCTCAGTGTAAGTAGTTTAACTAGCAACAGCAGCAACACATCAATAGACCAGACCAGCAATGATTTAGAGGAACAACTCTTTTCACCGATCCCAATTGTGCAAAATGAACTTCTGTCCCCGCTGAGGGAATATGAAGAACTCAAATCCCTTTGGGTGAAAATAGATCTTAGTTTACTCTCTAGAATACCTGGACAAGAGCCTTGTGAGACTGCGGCTGTGAAAACCGAACCACGAGAGGCAAATGTGAAACACAGGCGACAATCTCGAGAGTCCCCCACCACAGCCGCTGAAAAGCCCTCCACAAAATCCAAAAGGAAGCACAAGGTAAGTCATTTTTATAGTCCAAGGGAAACCACTCCATTTCCGTGTGTCAGCTAAGTAGGTACCAGATAGAACCTCGGTGATCTGCATTTCTTCATACCCGCCCCAAAACCTCTCCACAAAGATTTAATTGAAGAGACAGTTCTGTAGAGCTATCATATTACTAAAATATGATTGTTTTTTTACAAAAGATGCTACACTACATTTACCAGTGCATTGTGAATTTTCATCATAAACTATTTAAAACCAACCTCTAATTGTCAAAATCAATGAACTATGTATATTTGGTGATGTGTCGCACTTTCCCATTCATTTGCAGTGGTCAGTAATCTGCAGTGGGATTCCCAAGAACTAGTGCAAATTACAGAGGTTTGATTGTACCCAGAAAATGTGATTTCTGTTCGGAAGGCAGGTTTTTATTGTCTGGAGAGTTACAAGCTGATTCACCACTGAGTTAGGCACTGCTTCATTCAAGTCAGTGGAGTAGTGCGGCTTATGCCACCGATGAATTCTGACTTTAAAAATATAATTTTGTTATATAAACAAATGTGATTTATAGAAATATGATTTGCTTAACTAGCTGCTCCCCCTTTGCAACTACCTGAAATGAAGAATATATTTTGACTTAAGGGACTATGTTTTATCATGACAGGTTTCAGAGTAACAGCCGTGTTAGTCTGTATTCGCAAAAAGAAAAGGAGGACTTGTGGCACCTTAGAGACTAACCAATTTATTTGAGCATAAGCTTTCGTGAGCTACATTTCACATCCAATGAAGTGAGCTGTAGCTCACGAAAGCTTATGCTCAAATAAATTGGTTAGTCTCTAAGGTGCCACAAGTACTCCTTTTCTTTTTATGTTTTATCATGTGTTTTATGTTATTTATGCCCAAGGGTATCCTGTCTTGTGGGATATGACAGTATGTTTCAAACTAAAATGTGCTTTCAGAAAAGAAAGGGAGGTTTTATATCATAAATGAATTTTTGTAGAGGGATTTTCCAGCTGAAATGGTTATGCTCTGGTCTTTCAGAGAGAAGACATCATTTAATATTTTTATACCCCAAATTTTATAAATCACTGGGAATGTGACTTCAGCTGTCAGTTATATTGGCCTCTTGAACTGCATTAAAATGCTGATTTAGAGTAGTCTGATGATAAAGGAGGGAGTTAATACATACAAAGGCTTGCAGCCCTTACTCATGTGAATACTCACATTGACTTAGGTGGGAATATTCACGAATAAAGTCTGCAGGAGCTGAATCTCTGGTTTTACTCTGGCCTATGCATTAAAATTATGCAGAAAGAAAGGCATTGTGTGAATATGTATTTTGTGTGCATGCACATGTGTGCTGGGGTTTATGCGAATAATATGCTAATAACTTGTAGATTTGCTAACTCAGTGGGGCGATTTTTAGTAAGAATCCTGGCTAGAAGAAGACTACAATACCGGTAGCTAAACCTAGGGCTCAAGGAATATGATGAGTTATCTAAAAGAGTGGGGGAACCTCCTCACTGCATTAGCTGGGGCTTTGGATCAGGAACTGCCAAGATGAAAAGGTACACTCTCTGGGTGCTTGGGCATTCCACTAGAATGAAAATACTCAACTGAGTATCAAAATAGCCCTTTCTCTTCCAATTTGGTTGTTGTATGCTCATCAGTATCACTGCTCACGGTGACGCAGGAGAAAGCAAGTTAATTAGGGTTTGTGCTGCACGTGTTTAAAACATGGCATGAAGAGGCTGATTTGGGTTTCAAAATCATTTTATTAAAAGATTTATTTAAGGCACAAGCTCATGGGCTTGAGAGACGGTATGAAGGTTCCAGTGACAGAGCAGTAATCAGCTTTACTTATATCTTCTTAGTTCAGGCACTGAGGTCATGCAACAGGGAATCTGTCAAGGTAAATTTTGAACCATCTACCCCTTGCTAATCACTACCACTTCAGGGCTCAGGCCTGCAGCCTCTCAGTCATCTGTGTAATCCTTACTCATGAAAGTTGTCTCATTGACTTCAAGTATATTAATGAGTAAAAGATATTCATGTAAATAAGATTTTGCAGGATCAGGTCCTTAGATCTTGATTATTTATGATGCAATACAGAAGCAAACTGTAGTAAAGTGAGGCATTTGCTTTACAATTATCCATCTGGGTTAGTTTTTATATAACTTAGTCATGTGTTTGCAACACAGATCAGCACATTTAGGCCTTTTTTTTTTTTTAGTTATTTTCACTTCTCTTAGATATCAGTATTTTAGCTGCTGCTACTACAAAGGAATTATGCTGAGATTCTTGACGTTCTCTTAATGGTAAGGTGAATTTGTGCTTAGATGCGGCATTTTTCAAGCTGTTCTTGTTTTGTTCAAGCAGTCCGAAAGCTTGGATACATTTGTTGAAACCAAGAAACAGCGCCTTGAGGACACCTCAGCCTCATGCCTACTTCCACCGTGTATTTCTCCGATACCTAATCACAGATTAACCAGCACTAAAGAGTAAGTATTTCTTAATACTAAGCTGTGATTTAATAACCATGCTCTTTGAAAGCATTTGTTATGGAACTCTGTGATAAAGCATGGCTGTTGCCCAGTGGCTTGGTGTCATTGCTCCCATCTGTCATGTAGAGGGATCCATGTTTTCTGAATGGACTTGAGCTATCCTTTTGCTGGGCTCACGGAAACCACAATATCACCGAGGCACTGAAGGGTGGATATACACGTGTATCCTGTCCTCTCAGCCAGGTCCATGCTGCCCTGATTATACCTACCCTGAACACCGGGAGTTTTCTACTGAAAAAGAAATCTGTTTTCTGAGGGCCAAATCTTGGTTTTACTGACACCAACAGTGGCTTTGCCATTAACCTCAGTGGGATCAGGATTTGGCCCTTATAAATAGATGTATATAAAATAAAATGTTGGTTTTGTTACAGCATTGTCTGATTCTAGTTATGGAACAAAGTCCTTATTCTAAATATGATTCTGCCTGAACTATGGAGCAGTCCTGCCAAATGCCGAGTGGAGTCCTGGCATGTTAACCTCCTACAGTACAAAGCTAGTAGAAAGTACTTAACTTTGAGTAGCACTTTATTTTCCAGGGTACATATAACCGTATAATTGGTATCTCTCTGAAGTATTGCATTTTGTTTGAAATGGCTATAATGCATCAGCAATCAGGCACCACATGAATTACATTTAATAGTATTATAATCACAGGATTAACATTCTGTAAATAGAGAGAAAGCCTATCAGTTTTGCACTTTTATTGGTTTCAGAGGTGTAACTTCTGATTTCCACTGGGGCAAGCAAAGATTCAGGCCCAGAAAGTACATGATCTTGGGGAAAAGGTATCACAGTGTCAATATTTACATTTATGGAGAAGTTCTGAATTTAATTATTTAATTCACATCTTTTAAAGCCATTAGGAAGTCCACAGAGCAGATTATAATCTTATTTATACTGCTTTAGTTAGAGTAACTCCACTTTGTCCAGAATTACACCACTGAAAATTAGATCAGAGTCTGGTCCTCTATGTCATTGAGTCTGGAAAAGGCAGATGATTTGCAGGTGATGGTGTGGTCCATAAAATGTTACACATTTAGTAAGCATGATAATGGGTGTTCCCAGTTGTCATTCCTGAAAATACAATGAGCTGAGATATATTGCAGAGGGAATCAAAAATTATCCATCCCCACCAGTTCCATTATCCATTACAAAAAAAATTCTTTCCCTGTCTCAAATAAGCCCTAGGGATCCACCCCCAACCTGATGTTTCTTAATTTGAGCTTGTTTTCCAGGTCATTAATTTGATTCCTTAGAGCTTTCAAGCCTTTGGTATTCTCGGTTAAAATATAATTGTGTCCATCAATAGTTATTTCCATATGTTAGCTTTTTCTCTCGCCCACTGTGAATTGTGAACCAAAATTTTTTGACTCCTTAGCCACTGACGTGATTGAGGCCTGGATCACGTCGAGTTCATTATTAATATCTTCCAAGTTCATTTTAAACAAATCCTATGTTGTTTGATCATGCAGGTCTGCAACTCCCAGTGGAGTGCAGCTGAATGTAGATCAACCCTGATCCCAAAACTAGGGGATTGAATGTGTAATGACAAATTTCTGCATAGCCCCAGATTATTTTTAAGCATTCAGGAGCAGTTCTATTTTCCATCAGGGATAAGCTACAAAAAATGAGTCCAAACCAGTCACTGATTCAAAGGTAGGGGGGAAATAACACTGCAGTTGCAAAATAGTAAAAGAGAAGCATGTCAATTAAGCCCCAAATTTTATTCCCAAAGGTTCTACATATTAATACAGTAGAGCCTTGATAATCTGTATTTAATTATTATGAGAACTATTGTGAAATAGCAAGTAAAGCCCAATCCCACAATCCGAGTGAATTAATCTTCGCATGTATGCAGACTCTCTTTGGGCACAAGGTTCCACCCACACAGATCCGATTGAAGTATCAGGATCCAGGGAGTTATATTTTTAAAAGTATTTAGGTGCCTAGCAATGCAATAGGTGCCTACTAGGATTTTCAAAAGTGACTAATTACCTTTAAACCTGGCCGTCAGTGAAGAGAAACAAGAGAACAAGCAAGGAGACCATATCACAAAGACAGGTTTTTAGAAAGCCACATGCATCAATGTTTTGGAAATTAAATGCCTAATTTGCACATGCTGTTTCCATAATTGCACAAGTAAACTGGGTATTGGCATGCTCAGATGGTCAGTTATGCACCTAATAACCACTTGCACACACAAATACCCCATTTTCATTATGCAGCCATAGTAATTGCATAAACAATTAGGCATCCATGTGCTTGTATATTCTTATACATAATCCTGAGTGTTTGCCTTTTCCCAGATCTGAACCAAGATATACTATATATAATTATTTTAATAATTGCAGTTCAATTTTAATTATTTCTAATATGTCATAACGTGCTAGCGAATGTATTTTTAGTAACATGAAACCTCCATATTACACTAGGGGCTTGAAGTCAATGGGAGTCTTTCCGTTCACTTGTGGGTTTAGGGTCATTCCCTAGGATACTAAATCTTTCTGAAAAGTGGGAGGAGACCACCATTTTTTTAATTTTTTTTTTTTTTACTGTGAATTGTAAAGTTTGTAAGTTAGGGAGGATTGGATGCATTAATTTTATACATATTTGATGAAAATTGTATTAACTCCATCTTGGTTTTTCATTTTAGGGCAGACAAATAACATTTTTGTACAATCTTTCCTTATTAAGTCCACAGGATAACAGAAGCAGAGAGGAGAGAGTATTTAGTGGTTCAGAAATTAAGTATTGTATTCCAAGAGTATAGGATTTCAAGTTGACCTAAATGTCTGTTTTCCAGAGATTGCTTTGGACACTAAGCATACAGAGCTTTTTTTTAATTTAATAGATCAGCCAACCATTTTGCACGAGCATTTTTATTTTTGTTATTATTTTATTATCTTTGTTAATACAGGTATTTACTTGCAAGACCAATTTTGCAGGTGTAATTAATAGCACATGCAGGTGATGGCAATTAATGTCTGGCTACCTAATTTGCGGGCACAGTCCAGTTATTAGACAGCTCCTTGCCAGCATTTGCACATGTGTAACAACACCATCAGTTATTTGCAGATACGGGGTTCTGGTTTTCAAATTAAGCCCATACAGCCCAAACATGCACAACAGCGAGCAGACAAGAGTCTGTCTTAAGCAGTCATTTTAGAGTATTTCTAAGATTTTCAGTATAGGTTTCTTTGACCTTTCGTTAAAGATGCACCTGTACTAGGCAACATAGATTTGCTGGTCCCTTGGGTAGTCACGACAGCTTTCATTATAGTGTTGTTCACAATAAAACTATCCTAGTACATCTGGGACAAAGACTTCAGCTTCATTCAGTTGCTGCCACATGGTCTAACCTCATGTGAGAGTGACCTTTCCCTGCTAACCCCCTGCAGAAGATTAGATACACCATCAGTGTGAAGCATTTCTTTGGGGACAGGGAGAGTGGAAGGAAGGTAAAGCCAAGTGATTGGCATAGACAATGGCTTTGTCTCACTAATGGGCCAGAGATACTATAGCAGACTACAATGAGTGGATAAAGTAAGGGTAAAGAATGGCCTCTTGAAATTCGAGAGTAGATGAAAATTCTTCATCCTTCATACACAGGCTCCCTTGTGGCTTGCTTCATACCCTACAATAAACAAGACTGAAAAAAAACAGACAGGGAGATTTCTCATTCCTTGATAATTGGCCTTCTCTGACACAAAGATTAAACCCTGCAGCCACAAGACCATCAGTTCTGCTTGTATTTTTTTCATGCATTTTTATGTTTCTCTCTTGATTATAAATATAATTTAACTAATAATCATGTCAGCAAATTAAATCATTGAGTCCAGGTGTTTATTGCAATAAATTCATTCAAAATTAGTGATTACTGCAATGAAAGACCAGTTTGTTAGCTCATTAACAACCCAAAGCAAAGTTACAGTCCAGTTAACTACTGGTAACAATTGATTTCACAGAGGTTATTGTTAACATCATGAGTCTGAAGTAGACAACACTGTTACAAAAGCTATCAGTTTAATTTCTCTGAAACCCTGTTTGGCTTGAAAGGGCAACTAAGAAAATGAATAACTGCAGCTGGGGCTGAAACAGTCAAAGGGCTTTTGCTGTTTTAATTTTTATATATAGATATAGTTAAATATCCCCGTGTGTGTGTATACACATACACACTCACTCTCACTCACGCACACACACAGAGGAATATTTTTGGGGTGGCTAGGTTGAGGCCCCGCCTCCCACGGAATGATTTGTATGCCAAATCTGAGTAGCTGCACCTGTAACTGAGGTTTGAGCCCACAACTGAAGTGTGGGTGCAAAATTGAAGGCAGTGCCCCAAAAATGGAGGCCAGCTCTCTGAAATATATAAGAACGCTAGCCAAGAGAATAGACAGCTGTCCTGGCAGCTGCTGCCTTTTCCAGCGACACAACCACCAACGCTGAGCCTATTCTAGATGTCATTTACTTCCCCCTTAGTAGCAGCAACTGGGTAATGTTAGCAAGGTTGTTGTGTGGCTGCCTAAGATTGCTCCCTTCCAAAGGTCATAGAGTCCACATAGCCTGAATTCCAAAAGCTGGATTACGAAACTATCAAGGGAGGCTCTGAGCAACCTTGACATCCTAAAGCAGGGGCTGGATTAGGTCCTAAAGTGGGGGATTGATTGACCTTCAGTCTTTCTGCAAAAACTTTTGAAGTGGGCCCATCAGACCCAACTCCCTTTTCTCCAACAAAATGTTTATTGGGGAGAAGAAGAGCCCCTCAGACTTTCCAATGTGGGGACAGGATCACAGACTCTACCCTAACTTTTCTTTCACAAGTGGACTCCATTTCCCACCTACCTTCCAGTACCCTATTGGCGCGGGCACACACATGGATGGATGGATCTTGGGCTAGGCCAGAGCCGCCAGTCTATCTCTTCACTCACAGTATGGTCCAATGGATACGACGCTGGTCTAAGAATCAGGAGGTGTGAGTGTCCTGCTCCCAGCTCTGCCACTAACTTGGTCTCACTGTGTGGCCTTCCTGTGTCTGGTTTCCCAACTGCACAATGAGATAACAAACATGTGTCTGAGTGTTGCTATAACCTAGGACTGTGGTAATTCACATGAGCTCCACAATGCATTTTGGAGATCGGCGGGATGCAAGGAAGGCTTTGAATGAGAATTTTCTGAAAATGGCAAATCTTCCCCAACCTTCCCTGGCAGTTCCCTCCGCTGCCTGGTACACAGCGGTTTTCATTTGGTCTTATTCAGCTGCCCAACCTGGTTTCTGAGTAAAACAGTCTGCTGTGCAATCAGTATCCGTAACCTTCCTATGGTACCGCCGTAGACAGGCGATGCTGGTGAAGGTCCCTTGTTCTGAAGAGCTTTCATATAATGAAGAGCTTTAAACAGGATAGTTTTAGCCACATATTAATCGTATTGAAAATGAGTCTGAGTGGCAATGACAGTACAGTGTATCGGGTTTTTGTTTGATTATAGTCTGCTAAGGTTTCGGGAATATTAATACACGTCCATATTATTAAAATTGACACAAAAGCCACAATTAGAAAATGATTGAAATAGACACAATTATCATTAAAATTGGTAACATTGTGGAATACAGCCAGGCTGGAATAAAGAGGATGGTGTTGAGTATCACCAGATTGACGAATTAGGCAGCTTGCATTGCTTGTTCCTCTCTGATTTGCTGCTTTGAGGTATTGTAAATCTATAATTCCTGACACTTACTGAAATTGACTAAGAGGGACACATAAATTTTTGTTAACTTAATTTGCTATTGAAAATTTTACTCAATAATGATGAAAAGTAAATGACTTTGTAGTGCAATATTAGTTGTCTAAGAAAAGATTAAAATTCAAGTAATCTTCATAGACTGGACTAGGACAGTAACTAAAATAAAAATCCATGACCAAATGAACATGTTAAACAGTCAGGGGGGTTTACATAGCTGCAGTTTTTACACTAGTGACCATTCTTCTATACAAAACAGGCAGTCAGCCATAGCATCGTGTCAGCTTTCATGTTAAAGACATAGTTATTTTCCAAACCAAGTTCATTCATTAACTGGTATTCGCTCAAGAGCTTTTGCCAGCTGCTCTAAATCATTTTCTGTAGTGGGTCACATCCGTTTTGCTTGTCAGGTGAACTAATGTCATGTTATTGTTATGGTTATTATTTGGTGGCTGTTACAACCATTTTGTTCGTTCACATGCTGTACTGTATGATGGATATTTGCTAAGAGCAGGCATATGGGCCCCAGTCCAGCAATGCATTTAAAATTTTTATCTTTACGCATGAGAATAGTCCCTTTAACCTCAAATAGGGCTACTCCTATGTATAAAGTTAAGCATCTGCTTAAGTGCTTTGGGGGATCAAGGCCCCTATGCCTTCTGTGATGATGACTGACTCAATATAGTGTTTAAAGTGTCCACAACAGTATTAACACAATCAGACAAAATAGTCCCCCTGAAACAAAAGGCCTTTGCTGTCATTGAAGAGGCAAAGAAGGCAGGAGTAGCTTTTATGCCTTCATTGGCCTCCTGCTACTCATAGTCATATGAGGGCAGAATCTGGCCTCCAGTTAGGTAACATCAAGTGTTTGGCGAGGTAGAGAATATAAAAATACCCAAAGGCGTGTCACCCAACCACTTCTTGTCTGTTTCTCCGCAGCGGGAGTTCAGTTAAAAAGGTGACTAAGAAAAGAGAAGAGAAGTCATTCCCTCCTCCGTTATCCCCGCTGCTGGATGAGCCAGCACACAGGCGTCACAGCAGTGACAACAGCTCCTTCAGCCAAGAGAACAGCATCACAAACTCCTCTTCGTCTAAATTCGGAAAGAATGAGAACAAATCCTCTTCGAACCCCAAAGGAATCTGTGTAAGTAACTGGTCGGAGCTGCTGAAAGTGAACATGATAAAACAAAAGTAACTAGGCTTTATTCTGTTTGATTCTCTCTTTTTTTTAATGTCTGTTTAAATCCTTCTGTAGCCCCACTGAAGAGCAGCTAGGCGTGGAGCGTTTGAGAGCAGTACACAAGCTCTCTTGCAAGTTCCATTTTTAGATCGGCATTAAGCATCCATTTGACATCGTGTGTAACTGACTAGAACACCTGGTCCCTCAGCTTTATAGGCTAGATTTACAGCAGCGGAGTATCTGCAATTACTCCTCCTGCCTGTGTAGTTTTAACCACACACGTAAAGAAAAAAAATCTTCTTTGACGAATTTTCTATAATGTTTGCATATTTCTTGTGACGAATATCCCCAAATTCTCAACTGGTAATTAAGCACTGGGGCTAAACTAAGCATTGCAGATTGAACTGACCGCCCAGTAAAAACCCAATGAAAAATTGCCTGTGTGTACCACACACACGAACCAACTATCTGAGCGCCTGCATTTCTACCACAAGCTGCCTCCTGATTTGCTTTTTTTCTCATCTGCCTTCATCTGCTTTCCTCCTTCCCTTTATTTGCTTTGATTCGGTTTCTGCCAACTCAAGTCCTTTCTGACTGGGATACCTACATAATACACAAAACTCTCTGTTGTGGAGTAGTTAGGGTTGTTACATCCACTAAATGCCTGACACAAACCCACAATAGCAAAGAAATAACAAGTTAAGTTCCTAACTTTACAGACCCTCTCGTCCTCCACCCCCACGCATACGCTTTCCCAGTAAACTACAGACCATGTGACACAATCTGAACTCCTTCTGAGGAAGTGGTTTGCATCTGAAGAAGTGTTTTTTTACCCACAAAAGCTTTTGCCCAGATAAATCTGCTAGTCTTTAAGGTGCCACCGGATTCCTCGTTGTTTTTGTGGATACAGACTAACACTGCTACCCCTCTGAATCTGAACTCTGCCCTGCTGTCGCCTGTATGGGTACACCCTTCTACCAGATTACTCTATCCCCCAATACTGGCAGTTGTTGATGTTTGGCGTAGGAGTTGACTGTGGCAGGAGAAGATAGGTAGGTAAAGGAGCATGTGCAGAAGGAGTGATGCGAGGCTGGCATCCCTCTGGAGGGTACAGTGGCGGTTGCCATTCATGTTCCGTGGTATAAGGTAGCTGACATCACAAGGGAGTGGATGGCTGTGAGTGAAAGAGAAGATGTTATGTGCTGCTAGGTAGCCTCACTTCCAATCTCCTTGCTTTTGTGTCAGGCATGTTTTATGTGTAGCAGTGCTTCACACTTCACAACAAAGTCTTTTGTGTGGGAACTCCCTTGGTTTCTTGTCATGCTTAATTAGGGGCAGGCGTTGAATGAGGGGTGAGGGGAGGGGATTTGGGGACATTAGAAGTGCAACAGGAGAATATTTTTTATCCATCAGCAGCTGCACATGAGGCCTTCTCTGCTGTAGGATAAAATCTGACAGAAAAGCATAGCTCCTCCTGAGGAAGGTTTTATGTCCGCCCAATCAGGTTTGAACTTACCATCAATCAGGTTTGCCTGCATTGGACCCCATCAATCAGGCTTGTGTGGACCAATCTCTCTCCCTCCCTCCCCCCATTCCCCCCTTTTCAATCAAATAGTCACGCTTGCATGTACTCACTCCCTAAGCATCAACCAACCAGGCCTGCTCATGCCCAGTCCCTCTTGTCCTCCTCCTCTGAACCAGTCACACTAATGTGCACCTGGTCCCCATCAACCAGTGAGGCTTGTATGTGTCCATCACCCCCACATCCCATCAATCAGACTTTTGTGCACCCAGACTCTCCCATCTATCTGGCTTGCATGCACCTGGCCTCCATCAATCAGGTTAGTTTGTGTGCACAGTCCATAAACTTGAGCTATTATGAGAATAACAGCTAAAAATGACCATAAATTCCACATTCTTTTAAAAATCTTCCCATTTGAGCAGTTCTCCTCAGGGGCCTCCTCTCTGCCAAGTTTTGTCTGGATAGGCAATGGGGTTTTTAATAGATATCGGTCAACGGTGAAAAGTAGGGCTGCAAAGGAAACTTTTTAGCCAGTTTCAAAGGCTTCTTCTTAAACATCTATGAAAAGAAAAAAAAAACTGCTTAGAAAATTCAAGGGGCATGAAAATTAACCCGGTATGAAATTTCACAGCAATTGGACACCTACTTTTAAAGAAAAATGGTAATTTATGCTTAATTTTAAGACCATTTTAGAAAGCACCCTTAATTATGGAGTTACCGTAATGCAAGATTTTCTTGTTTGCTTCCATTGCCTTTTGACCATTGCAGAAATGGGTGTGTTTGGCCCCATTTTTCACAATTTCCCATGTCATGAAAGGTTGCCAACCTAGTATTGTAAAATGAAAACATTAAAGTTGCATTAGAATGTAACTGACAATTTACTTTACCTTATTCACTTGTCCCTATTGCTTTCTATCATCATGTCACTTTACTTCAAACTGCGAGAGCAGTACACATGCCTTCCACCAAAATCAATGCCAAAATGAACTGCATATGTCGGCAAATAAACAGTGCTATGTAAACAGCCAGGCTGTTTCCTCCCTCAGTCCCAACATCATCCATCAGATACATGCTTGATTTATCCACTGAGTTGGTATCTGAAATATTCACCCACTAAAAGGTATTATAGGGCTTTTCCGTAGTTCATTGCTTAATCTGTAATTTAGTTCATCTGATTATAAACAGAGTTCACAGACGAGTTCCAATTGCCTAGTCTAACTGTTTATGTTGTATCTCTAGGTTATAATCAGCCAATGCTCCGGGATCTCTTTCCCCTCCCAACACTTTTAATAAGGGCCTCGAGCGAACAGGGTTCTGTGGTATCAATGCTGACTTTACACCTTTCTGAAAGCATGTGTTAATGAGGCCAAGCATCTGAGCAATATCTAATAACGGTGCTTAATTAATCTAGTGGGTTTGTAGCAGAAGGGAAAGCAAGGTGATTTGTGAGGTTCCTAAAATGTGAACAAGTATCTGAATTTTAACCTCAAGCTGTGCCAATGATGTGTTTTTCTTGTTTTATTTCAGTGTTTTAAACACATAAAGGAGTTTGGGTCAAAGTTTAAGGAGTTAATGAAAATTCTCTTCCGTAGGAGGAAGAATCTCACAGTAGACCAACAAACAGTCTCCTTGATACCAGCCATCTAGAAACAGACATCTGGTCTACAATGCCTACACTCTCCAATGGGAAATCCGAGTCAAGAAGACCTAAAATAACATTTGATGACATGTATGTAGTATTAAACAGTCCAAACACGTGGAGTAAGATTTTATCTAGATGTGTAATAATCCATTTGTGTTAAATATGAGTTATATGCTTGGGGTCTGAATCAACAGTCTTCACACAGGCAAAACAATGGGAGCCGTACTTGTGACGTAAAGGCAGAATACATATACAATACATGATGTTACATAGAGTTTTTCTCTTGACAAACGAATTTTTATCATTTATTATGAGTTTTTTGACAAATGTTTTCAGATTATAAATGTTGAATTCTAGGGTAATTCTTTCCTAATTTTTTATTTTAGCTTCTCTAATGGAAACTTGTTAGAGTTAATCAGTTTGAGTTATATTACCTTTTCCTCTATTCGACACACATTAATGGCCCCCTTTGGGCTGCTTTTTTCCACAGCTAGCCATTTGTGCTCACCAGTCACATGTTCACTAAGCATATCATTACATTCAGCAGCTTTGTATTAATATCAGAATAAATTTAAACAAATATTATAAATGGTCACCATTCTTCTCGGATAACGTTTGTCCAACAGTGTGAAAACTTAGCCCTGAAAAATTAACTCTGTCTCCTTAGGCTTCACAATGCAGACTATTACATGCAAGAGGCTAAGAAGCTAAAGCACAAAGCGGATGCACTGGTAGGTTTCCATTCATTTTCTGCCTTTTTTTCAAGCACTGAAATTGTATGTTTCTGAACGGATCATCCAGTGTGAACTTATACACTGTGGGCTTCATCCAAAGACTATTGAAGCCAAAAAGAGTCTTTCTATTGACCTCAGTAGATTTTGGATCAGACTTCATATAAGATGACCACAGCAAACCCAAGTTCCTAACTGTAGTGGGTTCTAGCCCACGAAAGCTTATGCCCAAATAAATTTATTAGTCTCTAAGTAAAAAGAAAAGGAGTACTTGTGGCACCTTAGAGACTAACAAATTTATTAGAGCATAAGCTTTCGTGGGCTACAGCCCACTTCATCGGATGCATAGAATGGAACATATAGTAAGAAAATATATATATATATACATACAGATAAATTGGAAGTTGCCATACAAACTGTGAGAGGCTAATTAGTTAAGATGAGCTGTTATCAGCAGGAGAAAAAAATTTTCGTAGTGATAATCAAGATGGCCCATTTAGACTGCTGACAACAAGGTGTGAGGATACTTAACTTTAGGGAAATAGATTCAGTATGCTACAAGAACTCCTCGTTGTTTTTGTTCCTATTAAGGTGGCCTACTAGAGCTGTGCAGAGAAAAGTTTTATTTTCCGAAGGATTTCAAAACTGAAAATTTCAGAATTCTCCATGAAAGAAAATTCCAAATGGAAATTCACTCTGGCTTGACTGAATCATTCTGATATAATTGTATTATATGACATGATGTATAATGGGATACAAATTTTTAAAAAGAAAGTCATCTCAAAGCAAAACAATGAAATGTTTCATACTGTAAAAGTTGAAAAAAGACATTTTTATACGGGCAAAAGTTTTTTCCAGTTTTCTTCCAAAACAAAATCCTGACGAAATCAACACAATTTGGCAAAGCATTTTGATTTGGATGGAACTGCTCATTTTGATGGGCTATAGCTCCGTCAACCTTAACCTGACCAGCTCAGCAGTAGGGCCATTGCATTGTAATGGAGATTTGGATCCTGTCTGCTGCAGCTGGTACCATGCAGCAGCTCCCACAGTGGTATAGAACTCTCTCATTTCTCTAAGTAAGGTCACTATAAAATAAAATTGAGCCTGCCCTCTAAATTTCCCCCTACAAATTCTATGCAGGGACAAGTAATAGTCTTTGGGTGACTAATTATCTATTTTAAGGGTGAAAACAATATTCTTCCTGCAAATCAGTTTATTTAACAGTAAGGAATCGCAAATGACTGTGGTTCCAAACAAAGACAAAAAAATGTAGCACCCATTGTTTAGGAATGTCGCAGCTTTGGGGGTATGTGGCAGAGAGAGAAGGGATCAAGCTGCCAATGTCAGCTCTCCGTGCTCCTTTTCCCGATTCAGGGGCACGGCCGCTGTTCAGCATGTTTCCTGCAGAGCTCAGGCTCAGGGTTTTGGCAACATCCCCTGATTGTCACTAAGCTAGAAGTCAGACCTCCTGACGTGCCCGTTTACAGAAGGTGGCCCACGCTGATCACTTAAGACTGAGTCAGTAGAACATGTTGAGTCAGAATGCTGACATCTGTACACAGGGAAGGCTCACAGAAGCAGACTGACAACACCTCCTGCAGCTGATTGACCTTTAAGGAGAACACACATCGTTCTGGCATAAACCTGCCTCCTCTATGCTAGCAAATATTTACAGACTCAAGCTCATGATGGTCTCAACATGCTATGTCAATCCGCTTTTCTCCACAGCCTGATTCACTCAAGATAGTGTTGACCTGTCTTCCATCTTCTTACCGTTGACTATGCCTTGTAGAATTAGGGGTGTTTCTCAAGCAGAGCTAACATGAAAAGGCATGGCACATCATGTTGTTGCCCGCAGGCAGGCCTTTCATGTCACATGTAGTTTGACACCCCCAATGCTCTGATCAGAATGCCAGGCCAGCTGCTGTGGTATAAGTTATTAGCAGCCACAAATGCCCATGAACTGTGTATCTGCCTTTTCTTTCCACTATTTAGATCTTTTTTCATTTTTTCGTCAAATGCGGTTGCACACGTATTTCTCCAAGTAACTCGTTTATCGTACAGTCCCGTGGCATTAATTGTCTTATGGAAACAATTGCTTCTGGTTACTTTGTGCTGACACAATGAAGCACGCCAAATTGAAAGATGTGGTGTTGCGCTTGGGAAGATAATGTGTGTGACCCCTGCAAGTGTCAGGAAATGTTAACAAGATGTGGAAGCGATGCTGCTGTGCTTGTACAGAGAAGGGACTTCTGGCAAAAGTGAGGGCGCTTGAAATATTCTGCAATGGCCCAATGTGAACCCGTCATTGCCTGGAAGAGGGGCAAGGGATCCACTCATTTATGATTAGGCACACTGTCATCAGAACAAATGACTACATACAGCATACAACATGCCCGAGATAATGGGCCTAATTGTGCTCTCCTTTGCACCATCAATAAACTAGAGAAATGTTATTGACTTCATTGGAATTACCCTGGATTTACATGGCTGTTTGTGAGAGCAGAATTAGGTCCCATGGCTTTATCGCCATTGATTAAGAGGATGTGCCTTTGCTAAGTCAGCTTAAAGCTACATTAATTTTCTGTATTATATAGAAAACTAGCTTCCAAAGAACACCTGAAACAAGGTTTTGCCTCGGGTAAAACAAGGGCAGTGATTGGTGGAAAAGAGAGAAGAATGAGATGAGGTCTGCATTCCCTTCTGACTGTTCAGAGGGTACTGTAGAATAAGTGTAACCCAGTGGTGAAGGTGTTACATGTCCCCCGCTGTGCCAATCTACAGAGGATATGCATTGTTACAGTCTGCAGCTATGACAGGTTTCAGAGTAGCAGCCGTGTTAGTCTGTATCCGCAAAAAGAAAAGGAGTACTTACAAAGCCTTAAGCTGTAGCAGCTCATTCTATTAACTCTGGAGATCCCTGGTTCATTCCCCATTGTGTCAGCCAAGAGGGCATCTGTCACATAAGCACACAAAAAACAAGCTTTTGTTGCCAGGCTGAATTTTGTGCAGTTAGAACAATAGGGTAGAAATCTACATGATAACGCCCCATGAAAATAGAGAGCGTGGAATGTGTCTTGTGAGGAGAGCTACTAAATGGTAGCAGCAGAGTAAAATATGCCATTATAAAGCTCGACTTTAATCTATTGTTATAAGCAGCTGCCATTTTGTGAACAGAAAATGTGTGCAGGTGCATTGGAAATATTTTGATAGAGACATACAAAGACATTTTGGAAGACTTCAGCTTTATTGATTCTTTTACATTAAATGCCATATTAGTGAAAGTCTTACATCCACCTATCAGAAATTGAAAATGTTAAATACTATTATAAAATACTTACTATAAAAGTGTCATCTATAATATTCATTACACATAAAAAAGAAATCAGTATGTCTAAGTCAGTTTAATCACAACCATTATCAGGGCTAAAAACCTTTTTGCTATAAAATTCTAGTAAAATAAAATATTTAGCAGTGCTATATTTTTTTACTTTTTTAACACTATTTCAGGGTGTCATTTGCAAGTTAAGTGATGAGATTTTGGAGTGGGAGGAGGGTCAACAATCACAATGGAATGTCACATTTTCCTGACAAGTGGCATACAGATTTGTTACTTAACTCTTGCATACTAGCGTTCAAACAAAGTCCTTAGTATATCAAAGGAGGAACATGGATTTTTTTAAAGATTGTACTGAGTCTCACCCTCAGTTGGGATAAATCGGTGTAGCTCCATTGAAGTCAACAGACCTCCACTCTTTTACACTTGCAGAGGACTTGGCCCTATGTTATCTGTCCAGCTTGGTGAAAACATGATCTGGCTTTAATTCTTTAATGTATGCATTTTTAATGTCAATGTTGCTTTGTATACATTGTGCTCTATCTAGCTGGAAATAAAAGCTGAAGCATCATCTTGATGGTTTCATCTTCCTATTTCAGTTGGAGAAGTTCGGCAAAGCAGTGAATTATGCTGATGCTGCTCTCTCCTTCATTGAGTGCGGGAATGCTATGGAGCGAGATCCATTAGAAGCTAAATCTCCATACACCATGTACTCAGAAACTGTGGAACTCATCAGGTTAATGTCCTTTCTGTGATCATTTTCATAATCTCATTTCAGTCATAATTAGAACCTGCTCTGTTTTAAAAAATATCATTTCAACATATTAATGATTTGTCCAAGGCATCTTCATCTCAGAAGTCATCATAATTAGTTCTTGCCATTTTATTAATGTCATGGAAAATTTATAATTGATGGACACTGCTTTTATAAATTATCCCCTTTAGAGGTTATAATGTGAGTGTTATAATTTGCAATATTCATAAAATTAAAATTGAAATGTAGTGGGTGGAAGTAAAGTATAGTAATTTCACCGTTTGGCAATGACACTTGTCTTTTAAAAGGTGTAGTTTTATAATTCAAAACATTAAAATGAGTCGATCAAGATCTCTATTCTAAACCTTGTTTTTGCAGAGGTTTATAACTTGGCTGTAAAAAATTGTTCTAGGCTTTAACTTGGTATATAAGGTCGCATCCAGAGAGCAACTTTTGCATGTGTATATCTAGACAAAGAGAGAGTGGTTGGTTGGGTTTTTTTTTTAAAAAAAGGGATATAAAAAGCCACTGAAATTCACTGAGTTAATTTTTTTAAACATAATTTTTCAGTGCAGAACATAAGAGCCTTTGCCTAATATTAAAATGCCTGAGTTAGTATTTGAAAATCAGCGCCTGTTTTCTATAGCTGCCCTAAAGGGTAGACTCCATAGAATTTACTCGACAGAGTAACTAAGGGGCCAAATTTTGCTCACTTTACTCACAGATAATCCCATTGAAATCCATAGGATTAAATTTAATTGTGGTTAAAGCAATCAGGATTTTGCCCATTTGCTCTGATTCCCCTCTGGCTCTCACCATTTTTACACTGGTATAACACCATTAACTTCAGTGGGATTACTCCTAATTTCCACCAGTGAAAAGAAAAGCAGAATCAGGCCAAATGTTTGTTTTGCTAGGACTTGTTTATATGAGAGACTCTAATGTGTCAGATTAGTTATTCGAGTCTATCCAAAAAAATGCATGTTTTACATTTTGAATGAGGAGGTATTTACATAATAAAACATATCAGATCTGAAGAAGCTTGTTACTCTCCGGTAAATAATAAGCCTTTTAAATTTTTTAAAATATGTATTTACATACAACACTTGTTAAAAAGAAGAACAATAAAAGAGATTATGCCACAAAAATGATGTTCACACAACATTTAGGGTCGGTGTTAAACCCTGAAGAACAGTGAAATTAAGAATTAAAGCTATACCAGTCTCCCCGCTTCATTCCATTGTGCCTGCATCTTAACTGTGGGTCACTTAATGTAGTTTATAAGCACAAAACGGTGTGAAAAAGTAAACAGTAGCATTATCTTGTCTTCAAATGGCATGAGAGTGGTATGTCAGGGAGGGCGCGTGGCCTAACGGAGAGAGCCCTGGGCTGGGATTCAGGAGAGCTGGGTTGTATTCCTGGCTCTGCCACTAGCCTGCTGGGTGGCCTTGGGCAAATCTGTTCAGTTGCCCATCTGTAAAATGACAGTAATCTTACTGACTTCCTTTGTAAAGCACTTTGAGATCTAGTGATGAAACGTGCTATGTCTGAAGTATTATAATTGTTGATAAGTAGCCTGCATGTTTTGGAGGAGTGTGGAGCAAAGCTGCGTGGTTCTATCTAGCTATCTTAGGGTTTTCTGTAGCACGCTTCACCCTAGTGTCTAAGGATTTGTCCTGTGCATGTTGAAGGCAATGGCAAAGCCCCCATTGACTTTAATAGTGCAGGATCAGAACCTGTGTTCTGTGCAAGTAAATTAGATCTCCATGCCGATGTCCACAGTTGACTTCATAGACTAGGAATTTTACTCTTCACCCTTTCCAGATTCTGGGATGCATCCTGACATCCCTCCCATAAGAAAGAGGAGACTCTTAGGGCCACTGGTGTGTGTTGTGTTCATATACACTTTTAAAGCAACACCACCCCTGTGATGATTGGGGGTGATCATGAATCCTTTGATGAAATTCTATTTCTGTTGCCTGTGCCAGGCGGGAGATCAGATTAGATGACAAAATAGTCCCTTTTGGCCTTCAATACTATGAAGCTATGAATGACAAATGGTTCCACAAGTCAGAAAAGTAAACCCCTGTTCATCTGCTCATGACTCACCAGAACTCTAAGAGATTCACACAGTATGATTCTTCACAAAATAAGAGAGTTGGGGAATCCTGGAGCAGTGAGCACTGATGATTTGACAGTATAATGTGGGTTTAAGTAAGCCGCACAGGGCCTGATTTTCAAAACTACATGTGCAAAATTGTGCATGCAGCAGTTGAGCCTCATTTGCACACAAAGTTACCCTAACTGCAAGCATGGTCACTTGCACATGCAAATACATGATTTGCATATGCCACAGTGGAGAATGGTGCAAATTAGGTGTGAAACTGTATGTGTGCCTTTTTTAAAAAAGTGGTCCTTAATGTAACTTCAGCATAGATTTTTACAGTTGGATACTATTTGGAAGAGATTTACGTTACTTTTCCCCATCATCATGCTCTCTACAGGCAGACCCTTGTTCTATCTATTCCAGTCATTTTAACTGCTCTGAGATGTGGGTATCTGCAGCAGTCATTTATTTGCGAAAACAAGTGGAGCATCACAGTGACTCAAAATGTCAGAGATCTGACTCTCAGAGGTGTATAGACTAATTGTAACACTAAAATCCCTAACTTAACGCTGCAAATCCTGAAGAGAAACACATCTCTGCATTTGACCACGTTCATTCAGTGTGACTGGAGCAATAACAAAGAGCATGGAAGACAGAATGCTAAGGAGCTAAAGGGTGCCTTGCTAGAAGAGCATAAGGGGACGTGATGACAGGGGTGTCAGCACAGGAGAGCAGTGCAGCCTGCTACTCCATTACCTCCTTGTAAATGAGAACTCATCAAGACTGCCTGGATACCTTAAAACTTTCTTACGCAACACTGAACCCTATTACTTATTCTAACACAAGTACCTGTGAAATTGCATTAAGGCTCAGAACAATGACTTTATGCGATGAATTGATTTTCAAGGGACTAAATGCATGGAATGGCCTGTACTCCGTTAAAGCAACTTTAAAAAAAGAGGGGTGGGGGGAATGCTCAACCTTTTATCACCCAAATGTTGGACAGCACCAATTAAATAGAAAGGAAAGACAAAATATACAAGCATCATAAATTAATGGGGCTAAGAACTTAAAAAGCTGTGAACATGACCTTTCCTTTATTTAATACCACTTCATATATAAATATTTTAAAGACGTTGCAGAGGCATTTATGAGTGGGAATGGAAGGTGTTATTCAAACCCCACACTATTAAATGTAAAACCTAGCTGTATATTATTTTCCTCTTCAGTGCAAACAGGACTGAGACCTTATGTTTTTGGCCAGCACTCATTGCAAACTAATACAGTGCTTGTCACCCCAGAGTGCTGGCTGTAATGTTATCTTGGCAGCATTAACACACTCCAAAATAATTCACCTCATTGGCCCAGAAAATGGGCTGATGATTTACTTTAGTCCTCCAAATTTTAAGTGTTGCTTTCTGTTGAATATTACACTCATCCCATTACTGTGAAACATTGTGGTCATTATTTATTGTAGTTTTAGAAGCGGATCTAGTTATTTCTCAGAGTGTCACCAATTTTCCTCGAAGCATCTTAATGCCCAATTTCCTCTTCTCCTCACCTTTCTTACAAGGTATGCAATGAGACTCAAGAATTTCACAGGCTCATCTGCCACGGAAGGAGACAAGAAACTAGCAGTTTTATGGTGAGTCCCATTGCAACAATGTAGAAACAGCTAAAATCCTAGAGGACTTTAAAAGTACTGAATTACTTAAGCAGCTTACACAAGATCATTATTCTTGTTTTCCATTAAACTATTAAAGGGTAACAAATGGATTTCTTCAGCAGCTGACTAAACATTTATTTGTCTAATTTATACTGTTATCAAGATAGGATTTTAACGCTTTTGTGCATTTTTTTTTTATTTTTCTCCATTTGCTTATGTTTCTCAATCTAACCTTGGAAGAGAGACTGCAAAATATAGATCAGCTTTTGTTTTATAGTTTATAGGTTTCATTAAGCAATGGAATTAATACAATCTTTTCCTGAATACTGCAGCTACCGATGCTTATCACTCCTCTACTTGAGAATGTTTAAACTAAAGAAAGACCATGCTATGAAGTACTCCAGATCTCTGATGGAATATTTTAAGGTAATCTTTAGTCTGTTTAATTTATGCTGATACAGAATGACATTCATCCCAGCACTGAGGGCTCATACAACTCACACTGCACCACATAAGCCCCACCTTTAACCTCTGCAATGGGAGACATGGGCAGGATGTTTGTAAGGAGGGAATGGAACTGATCCTGTGTCAAAACTAGGGTTACCAGATGTCCCGATTTTATAGGGATAGTCCCAATAATTGGGGCTTTTTCCTATATAGAGGCCTATTACCCCCCACCCCATCCCGATTTTTCACACTTGCTATCTGGTCACCCTTGTCAAAACCTACAGCCATGCTCTGACCAACATACTGATTCTGGCCTGATTCGGATCTGACTTTCACCACTTCTGCACTTGACAATTCCCTGTAACTTTAGTGGCATTATTCCTTGGTCAGCACCTCATCCTGAGCCCTCTGAAGTCATCAGGAGCCTTTCTGTTGACTTTATTGGGCTTAGACCCCACGTTCACTGGCCTAGAATCTTCCATGGAATGTATTCCCAGTTACTTCAGACTTATTCCAGGTTGAATTTAGGCTACTGTCTCTTGGGGAAAAAATAGCCTGGCTCTGAAGGAAAATTTTGATAGTTTATATTTTACCGTAGACAATTATTTTTTTAAACATTTCTTTCTAAGAAGAGGCTTTGGGCCTGATTCTCTTTTACAAAAAGGCCACTTTACCCTGCCCTAGTTGTGTAAAGGAAACTTAAAGTGCATGTAAATATAATTTACTCTCATTTTAAGGTCCCTTTACTCTGCCAGAGCAAAGTGGATTTAGAGTAAATAAGAATCAGGCCCATATTTTGAGAAGCAGTTAAAAAGATCTCAGAAGTGGTTTTTTTAGAGCTTCAAAAGAGAGAAAAGGAGTACTTGTGGCACGTTAGAGACTAACCAATTTATTTGAGCATGAGCTTTCGTGAGCTACAGCTCACTTCATCGGATGCTCACGAAAGCTCAAGTACTCCTTTTCTTTTTGCGAATACAGACTAACACGGCTGTTACTCTGAAACAAAAGAGAGACTTCATCTAGTGAAGGTGCTGTGCACTAGTGTAAAATTGGGTAAATGTGCACTCAAAACAGGCTTGAACTGTGCGTGAATTGCATGTTCAGGCTCTCTTTGTATTCAAAGTCTAGGAGACTCACATTTAAGAAAGGGAAATATTAACAGAATATGACTTTCCTATTGCTATGTGATGCTCTCTGTCTTTTACCTTTGCCACAAAGAAGGCATGGTTCGAAGGTTTACAGTAGGGCAGCTGGGGAAGCGCAGAGCCTTTTATTAAATGGGTTGGGCCTTTAAACAGAGCTGTTGTTCAGACTGAAGTTTTGCACACTTTTCAATGTGGAAGGTGACTCACTAGGTCTTATGGTGACCAGAGAGCAAGTGTGAAATATTGGGATGGGGTGGGCGGTAATAGGCACCAATATAAGAAAAAGTCCCGAATATTGTGACTGTCCCTATAAAATGGGGGCATCTGGTCACCCTTCTAGGCCTGCAGTACAGGGACCAGGTCAGGAATTTTTCAACAGAACTTTTTTTCATCAGAAAATACAGATTTATCAAAACCAAAACTGCTTGCAAGACAGGGTCCGTTTAGACAAATTTACTATTTAAAAAACAAAGGAAAAAAAAAGTTTCAGTATTGTCAGAATGTCTCATTTTGATATTTTACAAAAAAAGTTGGGTTTTTCAGGTCAAAATGGCTTTTTGACTTGAAATTGAAATTAATATATGTTTAAAAATGTTTAAAAAACTAAAAAGTCAAAATCAAAATGCCATGTTTTAAAATTAACAAAACGAAACATTGACCCGATTCAATTGTTTTTTGAGATTTTTTTTTTCTTTTCATCCTGATTTGGGACAAGAACATTCTTCAAAATCTCAAAAACTCTCATGGGATGGGAAAACTGTTTTCTACTCAGCTCTAACCCACAGCACTCTCCTGACATTCAGGAGAGCTAATGTCAAAGCTGCTTTTTCATGGTTTGAAGACCTTCCAGATTATTTCAATGATCCCTCTCCTTCACATGCGTGAACATGCACACAGATATACACTACACACACCATCTAATCCAAGCCATTCCATTCAGTGTTGACATGTTTAAGGAAATGCAAAGACCACACAAACAAACCAGTGTTTTCTGCTGGATGGTGTTATCTAGTTTGGTCAATATTTTCTGAAAGCTGTGGTTGAAGAGTCAGGAGAATAAGGTCTTATTCCTGGCTACCACTTACTCTCTTTGTGACCTTGGACCTCACATGCAAAATGAGTATGAAAGTAATCAAGTGGGTATAATAATAATAATAATAATAATAATTAATAATTCAAACACTTCACAGAGGTGTTGTAAAGCTTAACTGAATTTTCAGAATGCCTTTTGAAATCTTTGCAAGAAAAGCAATATATACAGTCGCTACAGAGAGAGGCAACTTGTTACTCATCTTAGATAACTAAGGCCCTGATTCTACCACCCTTAATGGGAATTGTTGCTGAATAAGATACCATCTAATCTGAATAAAGCTCGCAATGTCTGGGCTTTATTATTTGTTTGCTTGTGGTAGCACCTGCTATATGTTAGGTGCTGTACCAACACAAAAGAGAGAATGGGTAGGGAACGTATGTGTTTATACACACTATAAAAGCAAAGGACTTCATTCATATCCCGACAATCAGACTCTTTTCGTCCCCTCATGTTGTGTATATATATTGCGTCACATTCACCTACAATATATAGGTTCCCCTAATTCCAAACATCAAACCCCCAAGCTTCCTTTGTCTGATGAAAAGCGTGCAGATACTCCTGAAGGTGAAAAGCCTTTGAAGAGCTTACTTTGCAGAATAAATTTTAGATAAGGATAATTAAACCACTTCTTTATGAACTGCATCTGATTCTACTGGAGTTTTGGTATGTCGAGTCTTTTACCAAGTGACTTTCACACTCCTGATTGGAGCCTACTAATTATCCAACCAGCTATTTTATTATGAGATAGTAAAGTTGGGCAGATATTCTGCATGCACCAGAGCTCCTGCAGCTAAAACAGGAAGCACCAGGTCTTGTAATCAATATTAATCTGCTTTAAATCTTACTAGCATCTCCTCCTGAACCAACAGAGAATTATCTCCTGTATTTACCTTTTGGTTTTGTTTCTTGCAGAACTCTTCAAAAGCCTCCCAGGCCCCCTCTCCTTGGGGAGGCAATGGAAAGTGAGTATTGCCACTCAGTACTTTGTCATGGAAATACACGGTTAACGGTGGGGGGATGGGGTGGAGGAGAGGGATTGTTATATTCATCATTCAAAGCTGAAAATCAGCTCTTAGATCATACTAAAACTTTACACAATTTGCGGTCACGTTCCAGTCACGCGGCAGGACTGAAAAGTTCATATGGGCTGGTACCAAATTCTTTGACAGTTTGATCCTTAAGCCAAATGAGGGCCATAAAAATACCTGTTAATTAGCTAGCAAGTACTATGTCATTTCAAGAAGCCAAAGTAAAGTTAACCTCCATTGCAGTGATTTTTTTCAATGATTCGTTCAGTAATGAAATACCGTTGAATATTTCATTGATATATGGTAAGTGCTGTTTAATAAAAGTGAAGGCGTAATAGTGGTGAAAATGTGAAGGCACTTAGTCGGCCAATTATCTGAATCTTTATATTAATGCTAAAACACCCTCACCTCCAGTATAAAATCACAGTAATGTAATTATGATCTGGTGGTCAATGAAGGTATGTTACCATCGTTACCTTACTTTCGCACATGATATATATTGTACTCTATGACACAGATTCCTCTTATTCCCTGTTCAGGGCTATGCATGCAAGTCTAGGCAAAATCAGTAGCTTGCACTTGTCCACATTTCACGGACCAAATGCTAGCTGGTACCTGGAGACAAGTGTAACACCCCCTAAATGGGCAAACTGGTGTACTACAGAAGCAGCTCTGACGTGTGGATGTACCCTGGCTAAGGCCATCCAAGAGGGCACTGAGTAAGCAGACCCTGAGTGAGCAGATGTAAGGGAACTTCCAGAGCTTCACAGGCATCTGAAATGAAAACAATTCAGTCTATCTTAAAGCTCTTTAGATTGTGAGCTTCTCAGAGCAGAGATCATCCTTAAATGCTTGCAAAGCACCTAGCGCATAGTAAGCGTGACTAAAATAAATAATAATAGTTGTATGGAAAGACAAGTCATGATGACATTATTAACAGGCTTATTCCAGAAGGGACTCCACTCTCCCCCTACACCTATGTGCAGCGTGTGGGACAAATTCTGCACCAGCTTCCACCCTGGTATCTCCACTGAGTGCAAACGTATTTGCAGCACTTTAACCTACTACTTCCATTAGACTTCTCTGGGGGGACATGTAAGGAAATATATGAGTGCCACACCACATCTGGTCATTACATCTGGTCTCTTTCCAGATGTGCAAATTGTGCAGTGCTAGATGTTACAGGGTTTGATGCCGGAGTCACTTGATGAAATTCTCTGGCCGGCATTATATAGGAGGTCAGATTAGATGATCATGATGGTCTCTTCTGGCTTTAAAAATCTATGACTCTGTGGCGAAGGAGAAAATTCTTGCCCAGCCTCTGAACATGATCAGCTGCCGCCCAGCATTTGGGTGGCTATCACTTCCATTTGACACCTAAACTGATCGGACTGTCTTGCAGCTATGAGTGAGTAAAAGTGCATCTGCTGTGCAATGCCGGCTTCCTTCTTTTATTCAAAGATAGAAGCTTTTATCACATAATAAGAACAAAATGTGAGGAGGCTACTGTTAAAATCGTATACATGATCTGACATACTAAAGAAATTCAGCCACAATGATACAGCCTACCCATAGCTGGGCCCTATACCACCTAGAAGTTACATGATTGGGTCCTCAGAGCAACAAGCAATATTCCACCCTGTAACAAAGTAATGTGATAGAGTTCACATGTGTTACTGCAAAAACAATGGTTCTGGGGCATGGAGTTACCATAGCAGGAGAAATCACACATATCAGCTGATACCAGACAAGAAGAGGAACATAGACTGGAAGGTATCTCCTGGGTCATTAGTCCAGTCCCCTGCATATAATCCCATTCTCCTAGAATCCTAGAATATCAGGGTTGGAAGGGACCTCAGGAGGTCATCTAGTCCAACCCCCTGCTCAAAGCAGGAACAATCCCCAATTTTTGCCCCAGATCCCTAAATGGCCCCCTCAAGGATTGAGCTCACAACCCTGGGTTTAGCAGGCCAATGCTCAAACCACTGAGCTATCCCTTCCCCACCGTCCCTTGCTATTCGGAGGCTGTTCCAGAACCTCACTCCTCTGATGGTTAGAAACCTCCTTCTAATTGCCAACCTCAGTTTATTTGTGACCAGTTTATACCAGTCTGTACCCAAATGTGTGTAATACCTAAGAGGGGCAGCTCACAGTTTTGGTCCAAAGGAGGTTTTGCAGGCTTTTTTTTTTACTTTCAGTTTGTGTGAGTTTGGAGCCCACCTGAGCTTTGTTTTGAACACTCAATTAAGCACATTTCAGGATTCAAAGCCATGAAAACCTCAGCTTTGCTCCCTGGAAGTTCAGACCACTTTTGCTGAAAGGGTTGTGAACCTCTGCAAAGTTGGCCCGAGTTCCAGGCTGGCAGTGAAACGAATTTTCCCTGGTTTCATTACAGAAATTTTCCTCACTTCAGCTGCAATAAGCACAAGGATAGAGAGATCTAATAGACTTGCCACAGTAATAATGGCACTGCACCTTCCCCTGCACAACAGGCTAGATCCGATGAACAAGGCACTTTATTTGGCTGACGTGCGTCAGCTTGTTTTAAGTGGCTTTAGCGAAATACTCTCCGTCCCTTTGCATACTGTATGATTGCTAACTGCTCCCAGACCTAATCAAGTGTAGTTCAGCTCTTCTGTACATTAAAGATGCTGTTTGGAGTATGTTTGGAGACTCAGAAATAAAACATTCATGCTGCAGGATACCCTTCAACATAACCCCTTGGCTGTGCAAATAGCTACTAACTGCTGATGCCATGTGGGTCTCATGCTATGGAGCTCAGCCAGGGGAGTCGTTACCGATCATACTCCAGTAGGAGGATGTTTTCTTCCCTTTGGATTAGGAAATGTGTAGGTCACACCAGTACTCAACTACTCTCTCCATTCTGTTGGGGCAAATTGTTCCTCTAGTCCAGAAGCTACCTGGCAGCAGCCAGTATGTGCGAGATGTGGGGTGTTCTTCACATATCCTTACCCCCATGCATAAATAGGGCCTGATCCAGCACCTATTAAAGTCAATAGGAATCTCTCCAAAGAATATTGTGGGTGATGGATCAGGTGGAACAGAAGCAGCGCGATCTTTCAGCTGCTCCACAGCTGAAGCAGTGATTGCTGCCTGACAGGGAAAGGGGCATGGAATCCCCGTTCTGCAAAGTTTGGCCCCTTTCCTCCATGCCGAGGGGCCCAGAAGCAATTCAGCCTGTATTTAAAGTGTTTTTATGGCAATCCTATGCATTTGTTTGGCTCCAAATGTGGGGTGGGGGAGGGAGATTTTTGGAACCCTTAATCGTGTTAAAAAAAGACCAATTTTCAAGGAGAAGAGCTGCATGTGATCATTCAGCGCTGTACAGTTCTAAACATGTGAGATTGCAGTGGATGACCTCCATGCTGCCTGCAGCCAGCAGGTGATTCCTAATTGCTGGTGTTAGAATTAAAAGAAAATCTATATGAGAACATTAGTGCTGCACTAAGTAGGTAACTTAAAACACTGCTCTTTATAAAACAGTGTGCAGATGAACGGCTGGCAATTAGAAACAAATCTTCATAGCAAGCCTTAAAGAACCCTATAGAGATATTCATAATTGTACAGTACCCTGAGTGCCTAATACTGCTCTGCGGGGTGCTTTTAAGAATTGCACTTTGCCTATTGTGGTGACTGTATTTGTAGCAAATTGTCATTGTGGTTTCCACGGAATTCTTTGATAATAATAAACCAATATTATACACTGAGTGTTTTCTAACTGCCAATAGCAGCTTCTGGCAGCTAGTAGAAAAATCATTACAGCTATGAGATACTTCTTTCTCTGAAAGATTGCTGTATTTGTCAGAGGTTTTTTTTTAAATAACAGGTTCATTTGTGGGGGGAATTAAAGCCCTTTTTAAATTTCAGTCAGTCCCAGTTTATAAACCTCTCCTCTCTTGTAAAGCAGGAGATCATCACTGAACATCTCCTCTGGACTGGGTCTAGATTTGATGTTAAGGTTCCAAGTCTGCTGGGGAGAGAAATGAAGCAGGGTGACCAGATGTCCCGATTTTATAGGGATAGTCCCGATGTTTGGAGCTTTGTCTTATGTAGATGCCTCGTACCTCCCACACCCTGTCCTGATTTTTCACACTTGCTATCTGGTCACCCTAAAAGGAAGTGATTTTAAATGAAGTGTGTGCATGAGAACAATTCTCCTTTCTTTTTTCCAGGAGCACAGAGACTCCATCCCCCATGTCTCTCAGTCCATCTCCAGTCAGTTCTGTAGGGAGCAGTGCAGGCACGGCTGGGTCCTCGTCAGCAGGAACCATCACCATCCCCCAGCGCATCCACCATATGGCTGCCAGCCATGTAAACATCACCAACAACGTCTTGCGGAGCTATGAGCACTGGGACATGGCCGACAAACTGACTAAGGAGAACAAAGGTGACTTGTTCAGTTTCTTCCTTTTGCTATTTTGGTAGCTGAAATGCAATTATTATTTTAGTTATCATTGGGGATTGAACCCAGGACCTCTTGAGCTCAGAGAATAAGCCTCTTCAGTTTGAGCAAATGGACCAAGTCCCCTTGTTGGGGATAGTAGCCAACTCATATCATCTGTGTATCAAGCACAGCAGAGGGCCGTGTAACACACACTGAACAGTGGGTTATAAGAGCAGCTGGCAAATAACTGAACAAAGATTGGTTTCAGAGTAGCAACCATGTTAGTCTGTATCCGCAAAAAGCAAAGGAGGACTTGTGGCACCTTAGAGACTAACACATTTATTTGAGCATGAGCTTTCGTGAGCTACAGCCATTGAATGCATCCGATGAAGTGAGCTGTAGCTCACGAAAGCTCATGCTCAAATAAATGTGTTAGTCTCTAAGGTGCCACAAGTCCTCCTTTTTTTTTTGAACAAAGATTGTGACTCAAGTGATGCCTGCTTCTGAGTCGGTGAATACGTTCCCCATTTCAGCCTCTCGCAGAGTACTGAGGCTCTTTTCATATTGCTGTCGTCATCCAGTAAAGATGACTCACATGTTAGTTAGGATAATAAGTGAACCGTAGATGTTCTATTTGTTCACCTGTGAGCCTGATTATGACATGTTTGTTAGAAACCATGACCTTGGTTTTCCTAAGATCAGTCTTTGCAAAAAGAAAAGGAGTACTTGTGGCACCTTAGAGACTAACCAATTTATTTGAGCATGAGCTTTCGTGAGCTACAGCTCACTTCATCGGATGCATCAGTCTGTGATTCAGTTAATTTATTCAGATCAAGCATAAGTCTTTACCATGGTTGACTCAGAGCAGTGTTGGCAAGCAGTTCATGGCTGGTTTACAGTGACTTCAATGAAGTTGGAAGGGGATGTAACTAAAGGTTCAATTTGGCTCACTAGGGACAAGCCATAGACCATCATTCAGGTCCCACCCTGTTCCTACTGAAATAAATGGCAACGTACCCCTGGACTTCATTAGTGCAGGAACAGGGCCTAACTGGGCAATGTTCTGTTCATAATTTGCTCATCACGTTAGAGCAGAATAAAATCTTATATAGATGCCTGCAGCTTGATGTTGCTCCCATTAAAGTCAATGGCAAATTTCCACTGACTTTAGTGGGAGCAGGGTCAGGTCTTAAAGTGTTCTACCTTTGAATGATAACTAGAACCAGGGACAATACTAAAGTACATGTCCAGGCCTCCCCACCATTTCCGGTGTTAATATACATTAGTAAATTTGCTAGCAGTGCAATCATTTGGGATTTTTTTCTGTAGTTGCATCCATTTTCAAAACATGCTGAAGTAATTCCTTTTCAAATGTGCTGCAGAATTTTATCAGTGGCAATGCAGAAGGGTGTTCAGATAGGAGAATGAGATGACAATAATCATGTAATTAGCTCTGTGTGTTGTGGAGTTGTTAAATGTTCTGCTTGATATTGAATCAAAATAGCTCGGGCATTCAGCCAGCAGACAGAAAATGTACCCAGCAAATGTTATCAGTCCCCGAGCTGGATGGGGAAGAAGCTGCTGAATCTCATTCTGCATCTTTATGCCCTACTCTCTTCTTTGTTCTTATTTTGATTTCTGTTCAAATGAGCCTGGTCCTACAAATGCCTTATGAGAGTAATCCCTATTCATACGAGTAGACCCATTGACTTTAGTAGAACTAGTTGCATCAGTAAGGGTTTCTCACATGAGCAGGATTTAGAGGATTGAGCCCCTAGTCTTAAATTTCTTTCCTTTTCTTTCCTTTTTTCAGTCTGCAGTGGACACATAGCTTGTGTTGCTGTTTCATTTCATTTTGGTATGAGAAGCCATTGAAGGGAAAAATGAAGTTTACAGCACTTCATATGGTGTCCTCTTTTGCATTCTGGGCAGAGAGACATATTTTCTAGTTAAATATTAGCTTAAAAATGCATACTTGAACACTGTTATACTAAAATTTGAAAAATTGGGTAGAAATAAAAGATAATGCTAATATAAGGATTTCTACTATAGCCACTTTTGTTGAAATCTACAGGTTTTCAATATATTGCATGACAAAATGTCTTTGACGGGCAAATAATTAAAATATTTCAACATGAGAAATAACAATTTCATGAAAATTAGCTTCAATAGTAATAGTTATTAGTGGTTTTCATTTGTAGATCTCAAAGCTTTGTACAAAAGTGATTGTTAGAGCTGATCAAAACATGTTTTGTTGGTTGGTTGGCTGGTTGTTTTGTTTTCCCTGCAGAAAATTTCAAATTTTTGGTGAACAGTCAAAATCTGAAATATTTCCAGTTGGAAGTGCCCCCAACGTGCTTCATGGGAGGTGTAGTTCAGGTGTTTCATATTTCCATTCTCCTCTGTGGGACAGGCTCCCTAGCTGGACTACATCTTCCCCTTTTCAGCGTAGACATACCCTTACTTGAGTATTATGGAATCAGGGCTGTTTTAATACACATTGCATCATTTTTCCCTCAAGGAGAAACCTATCACATCTATAGCAATTTAGGCCTGTTTGATCCAGTAAATTTCAGTCTACTGTTCTTTCATATAGGTTTAATTAGTTGCTTCGGCTTGTAGCATGCTAGATACGTGTTTTCAGATTGGGAAACTGAAATTAGTTTTGACATTTAAAGAAATTATTATTTATTTGAATATACAATCGTGCAGATCACTGGAACGTTGGCAAGACTCTGGATTTTTTCACTCCTAATTCTGTTGATTTCACTTGGTGGGAAAAAGACACAGGAAGGAAGATTAAAGTACCTGCTAGTTGCCATTTCTTTACATACCTGGTGATATCCCTAAGATTTTTTTATGCTTACCTCCAGCCATACTGCTTTGTTCTGTGATACAGTCTTATCTCACCAGGTGATTCAGTTGTTTGTAGTGTTGCTGTAGCCATGTTGGTCCCAGGATATGAGACAGACAAGGTAGATAAAGTAATATATTTTATTGGACTAACTTCTGTCGGTGGAAGGGACAAACTTTCGAGCTTCACAGACCTCTTCTTCAGGTCCAGGGAAAGGAAACAGAGTGTCTGAGCGAAATACTAGCTGGGACAGATTGTTAAGCATAAGGAGTTAACACATGTTGTGGGAAACCACTTCCAATGAAGTGGGCAATTGAAAATTAGATTGTTAAGCATAAGGGGGTCACACATGCTGCAGGAGCCCACTTAAAATGAAGTGGGCAATTAAGGGTTAACAGGCAGTGGTATGTGTTCCCAACTGTTGTAATGAGCCATAAAACCAGCGAGTGTCTGTGGAGTCCATGGTTTTAGTGTCGAGCAGAGTAATGAATTTAAGTACCCGGGCTCAGCTTTTGAAGGTGTTGTGCAGGTTTCCCTTGAGGACAAGTATTGAAAGGTCAGGTATGGAGTGATCGATTTATGAAAAGTGCTTGCCCATGGGTGATAGCGTGTTTTTGTCTGTTATCATTTTTCTGTGGGAGTTCATTTGCTTAGGTGATCAGGATCAGACTGGGTCAATACACCCAGAAGACCTCCAAGAAGCCCTCAGATGCTGGAAGCAGTACTATGGTGATGCAGTAGCTGACATCCATCCTTCAGAACCCTAGTGTTGGGGATAGATGGCACGGTGCTGAGGGAATCACTCTGTTTTAGATGAGATGATACCAAGGGGTCTTGACCACTTTTTATTGTGATTATTAGTTACCATTGACATTATGGTAGTTACTGATTATGCTAGGCATGGTGAACACAACACACTGAGGGTATGTGTATGCTGAAGCTGGTGGTGTGATTTCCAGTGTGGGTCATACTCACACCAACTCTGAAACAGCCAGCGTGCTAATAATAGAAGAGTAACCACCTCCAGCCCAACTACATATCTAGGATTTCAGACAGGATCATACTCATACATACTCTGAGAGACAGCTACTGCCCTATGAGTTTACAGTCTGAATAGATGAGACAGACAACGGGGTGGGAGAACATGGGGTGAAATCCTGCCCATTGAAGTCAATCTCAAAGCTCCTATAGACTTGTTCTCTTTGTGGGGTGAGGAACATCACGGCCTTCTACTCTTTCCTTCACCCCCTGATGTGATTAGAGATGGCCTGTAGGCCCACTCCTAAATTTGACGTTTTCATGGAGTAGGGATCGAGGATAGCAGTCCAGCTCTTTGTGGGATATTTCGCTTTCATTCCCCTTCTCAGGGCAGCGTCTCAATGCCGGGAGCTCTTTCACCCTCGGGTGTTTCCATTTCCTTGTTGCCAAGCTCCCCAAACTCACCTATTATGAGGGCCTGAAGTTGCTGAAGATGATCAGGGCTAGTGGGTGGCTGAGACTGCAAGGCGTGTCTCTACCTCTCTCTCTCTCTCGGCTCCTCCTGCTGCCACAACACCAGAAGCTGCAAGGAGGGAACAGATCCAGCAGAGGTTATTGTGAGTTGCAGAAAAGGAGCCTCTATCATTTCAAGAGTAGCTTCTGGTGACTAGGTGAAGGTACTATAAGAGAATCACTGCTCATTCCCAGCTGTTTCAGTCATGCAAGCAACAACTGAGAACCTGGCACACACAGCAGAAAATCAAGACCAACCGAGTCAAAACACGACCACTAGTAAACACTGTAGTAATATTCTAGCCAGTTTCCATCTTGGATATTCTGCCTGTTTAAAGTTTCAACTTGCAGTTTCAATTGCATTCAGTATTCTTCAGCTCCTGCCATATAAGCGCTATGTAGTGTTAAGAAGCTGCCACAGTTTCACTCCAGAGGTGGCTGCATTTTGTCAGCAAGCACAGTATCTACTGTAGTTTCTGTAGCAGTTTGTAAAAGATTTTGAGGTCTTCAACTGAAAACAATATAGAAATGTAATATATTTCATAGAAAGACAGATAGTTTACAATACAATAATTTCAGCAAGACAGATTTTGTATCACAATGTACGTTTGTTATGTGGTTTATATTCATTATGTGACATATAATGGCCTGTTTATAACTGTTGGCAACACAAGCCAGTTTTCTGAATACATTGTTTCCTTTATGTCAATTCTGTATCATTATAATATTCAAAGGGGTGGATATTCAACTCCAACATCACAGTTTGACCCCAAGTAGTAGTATAAGGGGAAGTCTTTTTACTTACGTCATACCATATATTTTTTTCCATATATACAATGTAGGAAGGTTTGTGAGATGGCATATACTATATATATCACTGAGCAGTGTGGGTAATTAACCACTAGAAAAGCTTGCCTAGGGACATGGTGGATTCTCCATCACTTGCAGTCTTGAAGACCAGACTGGTTATCTTTCTAAAAAATGTTCTACAGTCCAAGCCGCCATGATGGGCTTGCTGCGGAAATGACTGGGTGTGGTGCTTTGGGGTCTGTGTTATAGAGAAGGTCAAACTAAGTCATCAGGGTGGTTCCTTCTGGCGTTAAAATCTGTGAATCTATGAATCACATTAATACAGTCCTGAGATATCTTATCAAGAGTCATTCATGTATGCTAGGTCTGCAGGCTCATGAGCTTCTGAGAACTCACTAGTTGCTTCATAACCACTGAGCGTGAAATAATCTTAATTAATGTATTTCTGCACAGTTACTTGAAACAATGACTCCATTTCCTGTGTTGCAGAGTTCTTTGTAGACCTGGACTCAGTCATGGGACCATTAACACAACACAGCAGTATGACCAGTCTGGTCCGTTACGTTCGACAAGGACTTCACTGGCTCCGCATGGAGGCACATTTGTTGAAGTGACTGCTGCCCTCTTCATAACATCCCCATTGTTCTACCTCTACCAGCGCACAGACGATCACTGGTGGAACTCCACTCATTTCTGGAACTTGATTCATGTAACTTCATTTTTATTGCCTTTTTTGATATCTTATCTATTGGAAGTAGAAGTCACCATAAATGGAACTTATGACTCAAGAGCAGAATGTGTTGTACCATCTAATCATTTTTGACAATTTCTATGCCTTGCGTCTCCTGGATCCTGCTATCCTTATGTGCTTTATGGAACGGTACATTCCCTGCAGTATTGTTTTAAGTCGACACTGCCTTCGAGTGAAAATAAAAAAAGCACTTTGAGAAGATATGGATTCCTGAGAAATAGTACAAAACGTCTTAAATATATGAGGGTATATATGAAAATTCTCTTCTGAAATAAATTAGTAGAAGTTATAGCCATTCACTCAGAATTGTCCTCTGAACCCAAGCCAAGCTGTTCACTGCTTAGTTCTGGCATCGTTACCTGCAACTGTTTATTGCTAAGATTTCCTACTTTATATAGGCCTGGTCTCTAAAAAAGGGCTCTGAACATCTTATAGGTATGTAGCGTAAAATCACCAAAGGTGTCAAGAGATAAAAGATTGGGAGGAATGATTAAAGAAAGATGCCACACTACGCAATGAGGTTTTGATATTCTTTTCTCTTTATTGTTGGCTTACCAGTTTAAGTGGGCAGAACAAGGCAGTTGATTAGGCAATTTCAAAACGTTGGCTTTCATAGTCTTAGCTACCATTCATGTACTCAATGGGTGAACTTTCTGTCCTACTGTTTGGTCTCAAGCAAATATTCCTCCATGATTTTTCTTGGCAAACAATCTCCTCTTGCATAGCGACTCAGTGACAGCACGTGTTAACAGGAGTGCTACATTATAAACATTGATATTGTATGTGAAAGTATGGATTCTTGATGAGATTCGCTAGCAATTTAACTGGCTGCTGCTGAGGCACTTCCAACACCCTGGGGCATTAATTTACACCTGTTTTGTTGATTTCCAAGCATTAGAAGCAGACAGTATTATCTTACTTTCTTGAAAACAATGACAAATTAAAGGCAATCACTACATTTACCCAAAAGCAACATATTTGCTTCATAATGGCCATGAATACTTCAGTCTCCCAATTCTCCAAATTACCCATTTTCCAAGTTCCATTTTTATTTACCCATGCTGTCATATTTTGACCATTCCTTTAACGCATGCATAATCATGAGACAATTCAGAGAAAATTTCAAAGCAATCTTGAATAAATTAGACCATTTCATTCACTCGTTCCTTTTTTTTTTTTCCTTATAAGCTGCGTTGGTCTTGTGGCAGCCCTGCAGGAAGCAATTGTGCATGAAACAAAACAAAATGAATTTATATCGGTAATTTACAAGACTTTAAATGGCCTCATATCATTCTTGATGTAATGCTGGCACACCTTATCAAACTGTAAATTTCATTTATATAAACAAAAAAATCCCCTCCTGGCAATGTAAATATCATTCTGGGTCACATCTCACTGAAATAACATGACATGTGTATTAAGTATCATCCAGACATTATTTAATTGTAATTTCCTTTTGATATATAAGCCTGTATATCCTTTAATCGGGCAAGATATTGGATTCTACTAACTGGATTGTGACCAGATAAATAGGACAAATTTGCATTTAAAAGGTTCAGACTGCTAGGTTTTTAAAACAGGTCTTACACGTTTCCAATAAGGATTGCGCCCAATCCATATTTTAAGATAAACTTATCTTTTTAAACAATTGTGTATTAGCTCCTATTAATAAATACCTTTAAAAATTCTATAAATCATAATATTTTGTTCCACAACGAGGTCTTGTAAATGTAGCCAGTGTGGGAAGTATACCATTAGATAAATCATGCTGATGGGGTAGTCTATAAAGGACAGAACATGCACATCCTGGATTAGTTTTACATTCCTGTTCCGAAAGTAAGCAATGTACCCTTATCTGTTCTTTGAGGAGTTCAGGTAACATGGCTGAAACATGAATCCAAAAGAACTTATCATACTGATTCTGGCTCTTTTTTCTAATGAATAAAACCAGGATATCAAGAACCCTTCATAACCATAAAAAGAGGGTGATTTTCAAACACGCAGCTTTTTATTTAACAGATGAGCGTCGGTGTTTCTGATAACTGAACTGAAGTATTGATGGGTTGGTTGTGACCTCCGTTTTTCATTCTCTTTGTAAGGCCTCTCCTATTGGATTGACTAACTATTCAGCGTAATGAAGAACATTGTTCTCTCTTATTATTTTAACGTAGACTGAAATCCTAGCCTGCCATGGATTTACGAAGGCTATATATATATCTTGAAATACAATCTTCAGAGACATGACTGTTCACAGAGTCAGCTACCCTCTCCGAGTCAGGGTATTATCTTTCCCCTGTTGCTTGTAGTAAACAGACGCCTATCTCAAAATTTAACATACATTCACATCTCCTTTACCTAGACAGCTTAGAGAATTAGCCAACCTGATTTTGCCTCCTGTGACTTAGTTTGAAATGTATGTTGAATCAATGGCACAATTATAAGAAGTCCAGCAGTCAAGCCTAGGATCACAAGCCAACATACTATTTAGCAGTCTTGTTTCAAAAGCAGCTTAGAAACAAATTAAACATGGAGAGTGAATTACCTTCTTATCCTTGGGGATGATGCTTCTTTTGGGTTAGTTATTAAGGATTATTGCACTTTTACAGGCACTATATTCATCACCTTTCAAATGCCAACATGGCATCTTCATGGAGTAATTGTACTCTTTAAATTATCATTTCAAGTAGATTTCATTGAATGAAATTGTTTGCTTATTTTGAAGGGGAAGAGTTTTGATGTATGAGGGGATAATGTATCTGCCTGGGCTTTTTCTCTGTCACCCTGTCAAAGACCGTGAGAGAGGCCCCCAAAATTATGAGGCTGTCTTCAAAATCATGAGGTTTTTTTCATAGCATATTTTGTGTTCCTTTTATTTGTCTTATCATTTCTGAGTCTTTAAGCAACACTCAAGTCATGTTTTCAAGCGTCCCTCCATAACCATGAGAACTAGAAATATCTTTTTTTTTTTTTTTAATGAAAGCTGGAATGCTCATGCAGGTTCCTGATACCTGCAGCTGGGTTTTCAGAAAGACACCAAACATTGCAAGAGGTGGCATGTTAAGTGATGTTTAGATCAATATGCATAGCACTATGGTAAAGGGAACACACAGGCTAAGGACTAAAGTCTAAAATATCGGGGATCCATCAGTGCAAAATGACGGTGCAGCAAAGTCCAAAGTGCTCAAGCAAGGTCCTTACACACCTTGTGGTGGGCTTCATTGGTCTTAAATGGTGGGTATGGCCTTGTGCCTACTCTGAGAACAGTATGTATTTCCCAGACACATGATGTTCATTAAGGAACTGAGGTCCATAGTAGTGGATGCAGTTGAGGGGAAAGTTTAGGAATGCTACCATATGCCTCATATGGTCGCATCAGTTGCTCACCTGAAATATAGGGCTAGCTTTTCCTAGGGCACTTCTCACTCAAGAAAACTTCCTTTGCGAGTAGGGAAAGTTTGGACCCGAATACAAATTGCAGGATTTGGTCCATTGTTCACACGTCTTTAGCTTTGCTTATTTAAATAATTTTTTTTTAATCTGGATTTTTATTTTTTTCCAGTTGAGCTTGTCATTTTGTTGGGAGCATTTGGTGGCATCCTTCCCAGCATGTTTCTCAGAGTTGAATTTGGCCCTCTTCTTGCTGTTGCATGACCTTTGGACTCTTGGTCACTTAATAAGCTCAGTGTGTAAATACTGATTGTTTTATTTATAGGTGACCTCACTGGGAAGATAGGGGAGGTCTGTTGTCTTTAAAAAGACTCAAGGTCAAGGACTTTGGTTCCTTCTTATGAAACAAAATGATCCACATCCTAGGTTAGTATATAAGACGTTAACTCTGAACCTTTAGCTAAAATTAATTTCTGGGGTGCTTCTAAATTCAAAGATTTTTAGGATATTCCTCCCTGAAAACTTTTTGACCAACTTTTAGCTACTTTGAAGGACATATTTTTGTCATGTTGTTTTTGTGGGTATTTAATTCTATTTTTTTAAACAAATTATTATTTCAGGGAAAGAAAGCTTAAAAGGCTGAAAGGCTCAGTGGCAACAATGGGACCTTTAATAACTGTTTGGAGATGTAAGAAAAGTTCGGTTACAAGGAAGTGAGCAGTGAGCTTCCTTGATGAAGCATTACTTTTATGTGGTAGCGGGGACATTAATGTGTCCCTCTGTAGAAAAGGGCCCTTACCCCCAGTCAGATAATGTGCCCCATTCTCTTGTCCCAAGCAAACTGAAATACAGTAGAAAGCAATGGCATCTGCACAGGCTTGATCCTGTCTTCATGGAAATCAATGGCAAAACTCCCATTGACTTTCATGGTGAAGGATCAGGTCTTATATGCATATTCCATCAGCATACCATAGGGAGTATTTGCCACATTTGCTCAGACCACCAGGCCATCCAGTATCCTTCCTCCAGCAGTGACCAGTGTCTGATACTTCTTAGGAAGGCAAAAAAAGTCTCAATACACCCATAATATTGCATATTAAACATATTGTGTGCGTATCATCCAGCTGTGCAGACCCCACCCGCTGAGGTGTTGGTATAGCACATGAATGGGCCTTTGAATTGCTAGCAAGTCTACCTGATTTTATTGTATTTCGGTGGGAATTCTGGAGAAGGAAAGATCGCAAGAAAGTTTAAAAATAAGGACCACTCCACCATCCTTATGCTCCTTGCCCCATTTGCAAGTTTTACTTTATGTAGCATTTAATGATCAAATGTGCGCCCCCTAGAGGTGATTTTTATAAAGGCAAATAAGATAAATCATGTTAGGATTGGAAGAGGTCCGTTTCTTGACCCTCCTACACTTCCAAAACAGAAAACCTGTTTTTTTGGCCAGTTTTTGTGCAGTGTCTAGCACAATTGGGGTACTGGTCCATGACTGAGGTTCCCAGGCACTATGATAATACAAATAATAAATAAGAAGAAGCTCCATAGACACAAAATCATATCCAGGCATTCTGTATTGTCTAATAATATATAGGCTAAGTGCTCAATCATTATGGTCCTCACTATCTTAACTTTCCTAATGAGCAACCAATGTTTTTCCCTGATTAAAGTTCAGTTGTGATCATGTTTTGGGGGTCTTTTACACAGCCTATCTCTAAGTTTTACTCTTGACAGTTTTATTTCAGCTAGCACTTTTCAAAGCCGTTTGATGTATTTTTGGGGCGGTCTTCAGATAGCAGCAGGCCTGATTCTGATCTCACACCAGTTTAAATCCACTGAAGTCAAAGGGCCTGATTTGGCTCTCACGCAGCATGTAGACCAATGTGACTCGGTAGGTTTACACTGGCAGAAATGAGTGCCGTTTCAAACAAAAGGCGTTACAGAGTAAAACTGGTGTTAGATGAGAACCTTACTGTGTCAGAAATACTTCATAAGAAGTACCATGAAGATGATTTGTCCTTGGAATCAGAGGGTACGTAGAAATATGTATGGCAGAAATGTGAAGCACTGTTTAATGAAATTGGAAACCTACTGAAGAAGGGATGACTTCATGAGTGTAACTTTCTGAATTTGACCTGTTTGTACATCTGTGAAAAGGGATTTATTATTATTGATACGCCTGATGAAACCTGTCGGCTGTGATATTATGTCATGAGAAGGCCTTGTGCACCTCAACCCAGTCTGATGAATTAACCTGCCTTACTGTGTGGCTCCATGACACAGTGCACTAATATTGTCATTACAGTCCCTTTCTTGTAGCAAGGTCATTTTTTCCCCCACAGAACTTCACCAAGGACTGATTCCAGGGACCCAGAAACCAGCCCACATAGCAGTCTGTGGCCTGGGTACCTCTGGCATAGGTAGATGAAGAAGTCCCGCCCCTACCCCCACCCTACCCTCAGACTATGGAGCAGCTGCAGATCACAAGGGTACTTGAGCCTCCTGCCTCATGGGGTTCCAGAGCTATGCCTCCAGTCGGAGCCTGAACATCTACACTTGTGTCCCATTAATTTCAATGATATTAACTAATGAGCAAGATGAGCTGGATTTGTGTGTGAACCAGTTTGGGTCTTTAATTCTACTTTACTGGAACGTGAGTTCCACTATATGCAAATTCCATTCCAACAAATTCCAACAATGCTTTACTCCCCATATTGGGCTTGATTCTACTCTCAGTAACAACAGTTTTGCACTGGTGTAACTTCACTGACGTAAATGGAGTTACTCCTGATTTAGACCTGTATCAATCAGAGCATCAGGCTCATAAATGAGTTTCATTATAAAAAATACTTAGGGAAATGTTACTTATAATTTAGGGCTAAATCCCACATTACATACTGGGGGCCAAATGGTGCTCTGACCAACAGCAGTGGCAATCTAGAGCAACTCAAATATCTTCAATGGAATTCTCTGGTCCAAATTCTGTTCTTATTTTACCCTTAATAATGGAGTGATTGAGATCAACATTGGGCTCATTATGCCAGATCCTCAAGTAGGTTAAATCAGTTACTTCAGTGGAAGTAACTGTATCTTAGGTCGGATCTGACTCACTGAGTTCAGTTTGGTTACTCTAGATCTACGCTGGGGGAACTGTAAGCAGATTTGATCTGTGACCAGCCCATAAATGTACTCAGCCCCTACTTAGGTAAAAAAACTTTGACTTCAGTGGGATATAAGTGTGAGGCAGAACATCAGGGATTTGACCTATTGGCAGGATGCATTTACTCCAGAATTTTTCAATTAACTGAATAGCTGGCAACAGCAAACTCTTTCTATGGTTCATGAAAAACCAGAATACAAGATCCTCATGTGATGTAGGTTGGTGCAACTCTATTGATTTCAATGGAGCTATTCCAATATACACAGCTGAGGCTCTGGCCCATAAACCCAAACCTTTTTAAATTTTTGGCCAACATATCTCTGTGCAGGGGAACTCCCAAAGCTTTATCATCGCACTTCTTGTTTATTGACCATGCTAATGAAGCTATTCCTGTTTTGTCTATAAGGAAATGGACTTTGCAAAGCAACGAAATCTAGAGTACTTTGTAAAGCCACATTAGACCACACAGCCTGGAAGAAGTACCCTCAGAACTGAGAATAACTCAATAGCTAGTGCTGTCCTGTGTTTTGTCTGATGTCGTTTAAATTTTCACTCTGCGCTTCCCCTGCTGATTTTTACGTAGGACGTGAACAACGATTGTAGGTTTCTGAAAGTCATCAGCCACATCCCCAGATGCCTTCCGTCAAGGTAGCTCCATTGATGTCAGAGCTGATTTACACAGCCTGAACGGGGCCTGTATAGTTTTACAGCCTGTGCTGTGTGAATTAAGTGCAGCTCTACAAATATATACTCAAGCTGTTTTCTAAAAGTTAAAGCATCAGATAATCCCTGCTAAAAGAATTGGAGGTGAATTTCTGCCTGCAGTCTAGTCCTGCAGATTGTTTTGTTTTGAACTAAAAGGCATGGTGCAATTTCATTACCCCTCAGTTTAAATATTTCCTGGCATAAGCATTAGCTTACATAGAAAAATGGCAAATACATTCAAATGTTGCGTAAATACTTGCAGTATAAAGATGGAATCTGTTACTCCTGCTCAAAGACATTTCAGAGGGTTGAAGTGAATTTTCTAAGCCAAATGAAATTTTGTATATTTAAAAATCATTGAAAATATGTATTAAGGGCGCAATTCTACAATTCTTACTTACACTGAGCACCTTAATCCACAGTTAGTTCCAATGAAATCAGTGGAGCTAACTACAAGCAGACTAAGTTACCGCTCATCATTAGGATGGCAGAATTAGGGCCTAAATAGGTTACTTGGATGCAGTCAGGAGTTTAATTTTAGCCATATATGTCATGTGAGGACACTCATAAACTCGGTGTACATTTTATCCAAACTGACAGTCCCAGTAATTCCACAGACTATTGTATATTTTATTCCTTCGTGTATTTTCGTGACATCTCTGGATTGCATATCTTCTTCTGAATCTGAAATACTCTTTTAAGAAAAAAAAATCAATGTTCATGAGGCCTAGGACATATCATTGCAAAGTTTGAAAACAGATTTAGAGATCTGGTTATTTTTGTTTTACCTTCAAGCCATCTTTTGGTTTGTGTTTTGACTTTAGCTGTAGCAACCCCACGCCCAATTGTTTTTAAAATGGTACAGTTCGGATTAAGTTTTCTGGTTGCTGAAAAACCGAATAAGATGACTAACATATGGGAAAAGTAATAATGGCAAACTAAAGGGATGTTTGTTCTTTCTACATGTCTTGTTTTTTACCTGCTAGTGTTGGGATTAGTCTAGAAAAATCTGTGATTTCTCACCTCCATCTCTGACTATTGTGACAAAAAGCTCAAATTTGTTTTTTGAGTTTGTTGGGGTTTCTTGTTTGTTTTGGGTGCTTTTTTTGTATGTGTAGAAGTAACCAAAATGTCAGGAACATTTATATACCTTCTGTTCTGGTTACTGGCCACTATGACATCATGAAGACCTCTTGGCCTTCCTACCAAAGTCAGATTTAACTTCTACCTTGATGTTCTTCTCAATTAGCCATTGAAATTAGATTGTAATTTACTAAATACCCCTTTAGCTTGCATTCTTACTTTTGATTTATCCTTGAACTAGCCTTTTTTGTGCGTGTGCAAATATCATATCCATAATTGCTGCAATTCCACAAGGTGTCTTTGTTCTCAACAAGCATGTTATTCTTGTAAAGTTTTACGTATAAGTTAAGATGTTTTGTACAGACCAAGGTAACTGTTAAAATGTCAAGCAATTACTGAAATGTTGTATAGTTATAAAGGTTTGATTTCTTTTGCTTTATATGTATAAAATTGTATCCTGCCTGTTTTGCTTTGTATTTCCAATGTGTTGCACAATTATGCATTTTGTTTACATTTTGTTCCTTCTTAAATAACAGTAATACTTTATGTACAAACATTTTAAATGTACTTTTGTTGTTTTTAAACACAATGTCTCTATATAAATAATATTGGTTGAACTGGTACATTTGTGTCTCTCATAGAGGGGTTAATTATACTGCCAGTGCATTGAATTATTTAAAAAAAACAGTAAAATAAAATTTTTATGAAAATGTAACCCATTTTATAGCTATAAATTATTCTGCATTAAGCTATTTTCTCATTCCTCTCCCAGGATACAATAACTGTGAGTTCTGGTAAGCACTGTTTGCAGGAGAGTTTTCATTGTTTTTAATTTTTAAAGAATTCATTTGAGTCGTTATGCAGAACTGAAGTGATTCAATATTGTGGAGCTAAATTTTGCTGATGCCATTTCTGGCAAGATAAGTGGTATGGCACACCCCCACAGGAACATCCGCAGGACGGTGGGAAAGGATTCTGTCTATCCCCACCCAATCCTAAATGGCTAAGGAACCGGTCTGAAAAGAAATGAGTTTCTAAATTTGCTGACAACCAGCACAGGACTTACGCACAAATTTAATGGTGCACTTAAATGTACTGGCCTTCTGCACAGGGGTGAGTTTCATCCCAGGGGCTCACTAGGCATGGCCCAGACCCGGAAATGCCAGGCTTTATAGCCTCATTTCAAAATAGCCCAAAGATTCAGTGCCAAGAATAGCAGCTCAAAAGAGCTGAAAAAGCTCTCAGGAGATGTTTAAGTAGTACGTGATGTGGCTGCATAGTCCACAAGACATAGTCTAATGCAGAGAATGGCCACCAAGGAAGAATTTGAGGGCTAAAAAATCTGAGGCCCCTCTCTGGCCACTGTGGAGTTCATGCTTTGAAGAGGGGAGGTCTGAGAATGGGGATCAGTGTGTTCTAGCACTGATTCCAGCTCCCACCCTTGACAGGTTACTTCTTCCCCTGCCAGGAGCTCCTGTGGGGGAGGTTGATGGGCGGTCACCACTGGGTCAGAATACAGGGGATTTTAGAAATGAAAAGAATGGAATTAGAGGTTGAATGTAATGTAATACTGGGCCAACTTCACCGGCATTCTCTGGCTTTTTTGCACCACTTTGACTACAGCCATCGGTGCAGCTTAACAGACCAGTTAAACTGTTTATCAGGTGTATCAGTTTTATTGCTTTTGCCTGTGCAGCATGGGTATCCATAACATACTGTCTCATCCCCCAAAGTCCTACCCTGGACTTAGTGTTAAAACTGGGATGGATTCTCTGGCGCGGTCTCTTCCTTGGTTCTGCCAAAGTTGTGGTCAAGAATCCACAGAAGATATTCCCAGGACACTGCTTGATCATTTTGGCTGAGTGAACCAGTCTAATGCTGCCTGTCCAATTCGCCCAGTGTTAGCAGCCAGTAACATGCTGGCAGGCACAGAAACTACCGTGAGAATTGACTTAGCGTAGTTAGCACCTGTCGTTCTCTGAATGTACAGACTTGTAATTGGCTGTGAAGTGTTCTGTGATCCTTGCGTATGAATGACTCCATATAAACCCAAGTTGTATTTCATTGTGGGTGCCACTGAATGACTCAGGCAGGGAGGGCAAAGTGCCCACTAAAAAGGCATCATTATTCCAATAGCCACTACCCACGTAAAGCCCCACAATACCAAGGACACTCCCCCACCCCCCCGCGGACACACCTCATGGCTGGTTTCTGGAAGATTTGGCTTTCAAAAGCAGCCCATCTCGAAATGAAAGCGTGCCCTATGGCGGGCTCACCAAGCTGCCTGTAAGGGCAGCAAAAGATGTTTCAGGATTAAAAAAAAAGAGCTGGCTCAAGAAGAGTGCCTCAATATCCCAGTCACAGAGCCTGAGCCAAAGATCAGAGACTTCGATGAGCTTTCAAGATGGCATCATAATGCCCACGGATGCTGCACTGAAAGTACCATTTGAGCAAGTTACTATTGCCCATAACAGGCTAGAACTGGAGCCCGCTCCTGAGAAGTGCTGAGCTTCCAAATTCCCATTGGCTTCAATGAAAGCTATGGATCTAGAGCAGCCCGCAGGGTCAGCATCTTAGAGAGGCACATAGCTCTGCAATCCTGTCATGGCAAGTCACTTATGTTGCCCTGTTCCCCAGCTGTTAGAGGAGGATGGTCCGGCCCTACTTCACAGGGGCGCCGTGAGGATAAAATCAAGTGACCAGGAGATGCATAAATATTCGGTTGATATGGGCCATGCAAATACTTAGATAAAGACCCACACACACACGTTTTTGCAACCAACAAAGATGCATGCGCATACTCAGGCACAAAGTTGAGTTACATCAGGGATGAATTTGATCCATGTTGTAGGCTGCTGGCTACCGCTAGAAAGCTGTGGTACATAGCTGACAGAGCGTGACAACACCACTAAATCCAAAAGATCCAGTAGCCTCTTTCCATAGCCCAAAGAGGGAGGGAAAAGAAAGAGCAATCTGAACCATTTCACTAAAGTCTTAGGGAACTGCCTGATTAGCCCAAGAAGGCAACATTACAGTGATGGGTCCAAGTGCTGGAAACGGATTTCTCTTAGCAGCTGCATTTCAAAATTAATTTAAAAATCACTCTGACTTTTAAAAAGGGAATTTTCAGTACATTTTTTCCCCATACAGCGGCCCTGACGTTCAAAGGACTTTACTGTCGGTAAGGTAAATGTGTAACGTGCACGACCCATATGTGAAGCTAATGTTGAACGTTAAATCAACGCTATCTCTGGGTGGTGGGTACTTTGATTTCTTTCTGGAGTGGCACCGGTTTTGAAATCACATGGCCACTATTATCCAGGGCCAAATGCTGCGCTCTGCCCCACTGCCCTTAACGTGAGAATTAAGTGGTGCATAGAGCCTCATGTGAGCCCTCGTCATAGGATGAATTTTCCCCCTTCGAATGCTGTAGCACAGAGAAAACTCTGCACTCACGTTTTGGCAACTCTGCATTAACTGCCTATCAAGCAGTAACTAAATAAAAAGGCTCGTATTGTGCTTCAAGCCATTAATTTAACAGCAATCACCTATGTGCTCAGGATAGGCTGGCAGGGAATTATCTGCAATGAGAAGATGCTTGCCAATAAGTGTCACAAAAGGCTTTCGCTGTACCTCAAAGTGGCTGCAAATCAATCAGATCAGGTCTACAATGCCTTTTGTGATTTGGGAGGCTGACTAACCGAGAGGCAGCCTCTCTCCCTAAGGAGGCAGGGGACCTGCACAATGATCCATGCACCTGTTCACATCTACTTAAGCCCTTAGCTTTAAACAACATTTGGGAAGCCCTTAAATACCTTTCTGCTATCAGATTGCTAAGTAAGCAATGGCACTTGCAACCGGGATGTCATACAATTGCCACATGGGAGGGTGCAGGCTGCACTGTTGTGAGTGGGAGGGGAGATGGCCATGAGCCATGGTCCGTGCTGTGGAAAGGGCTGAGGACCCTTAGCATACGGTGAAGGAAATACATTCAGTTGGCACATTCATAAATGCCATGACTGCTCAGGCTTGGACTTAATTGGCGCCCAGGGCTTGCTCTAATCTAGACCTAGGGGAAGGGGTGAATTCCACCCTAAAGACTATTGTCACAGTACGATCAGCTGGGTTCGCTTGCTAACAATCCCTAGCGCTGAATGTCTGGAGGCGGGATACAAAGTCAAAGAAAGCTCTGCACCAGAGCGCCTATAGTCTTCAAGGGTATCCAGGCTACATTGGAATCGAGATGTTTTTAACATATTAACAGGGCAAATGCTGCCTGTAAATAAGGCGAATAAATGAATTCATGCAGCAAGGACCTTCAGGCCAGAGCTGGTCAACCAGAAAATACTGATTTGACAAAATCTGAACATTTCACAGGACTATATCAATTTTGTTGAAATTTTTTCAAGGAAAAAAAATTATTAAAGTGTTTTGTTTTGATAAGGTCAAATCATCTCATTTCAAAGGATAAAGTCAAAAATGAAGTCCCTTTGACTTTGTCGAAATGAAGCGCTTTGAGAAGGTCACATGGCTATTTTGACTTTTCCTTGTGATTCAGGCTAAAAGGAGATTTCAAAATGGAAGATTTCCCATGGAATGGCAATTCCAAAGTTCAGCCAACTCTGTCTCAGACACGAGGAGGTCAGCAGACAGCTTTTCTGCCGTTCCTTCCCCTCTGCAGCCTGACTTTCTTGCAATCGCCAACCCCCCTCCCCATCCCACAGTCATTCATTGCCTCTTCGCTTCAGCCTACCTCTTGCTAACCTCCAGTAGTCCTCCCTTTCCACCCCATCCAACTGACCTCCCTCCCTTCGAATGACCCCCTTCTTTCCAGTTAGTTAATCCCCGCTGAACAAAACCACCCCAAAACAGTAAAAAAACCAACCAACCAGAACCCTGTGGTATATTGAAAACTGTGTAACAATTACTAGTGGACACTTTAAATGTAAGTACAATCCTATGATATTCAGGATGCCAGACTAGATGATCATAATGGTCCCTTCTGGCCTTAAAAATCTAGGAATCTATTAATCATTTGAGCTGGCCTTTTGGCGACTACAGGCCAGATTCTAACCTTCCTTACACTGATGTTAATGAAATGCCACCTGATGTTGATCAATGCAAGTGAAATCAGACTCCAGCATGAAACTGGTTACCGCCAGCATGAAACCTGTGCAACTCCATTGACTACTATGGTTTTACACGGGTGCAACTGAAATTTTTCAGTCTGTGACACCCAGACTCCACTGACCCAAGGAAACCCCAGGCGGCCTCTCAAATTCAGCCACCTCAGAATCAATGGGGAAAAAAATCTACTTTGTTAATACTAAAAGGCTATGGAATGGCCCACAAAACTCCCATTGATGTGAGTAGCATTTTCAAATGCTGGCAGACTATAGCACAAAACCCAGCGTTAGCTCATCACCGCCACTTACGCTATCAGCCCACAAAGTTGCTGTGAGCATGTGTTTAAGGGTGAGTCATTGATTACCCTGAAAACCCCTACTTTCCCCTCCTTTTTTAGCATAATCATTTTTCAGCGAGAATGTCAATAAATGCTGGAGACATCAGCAACAACCACAACAAAAAAGCCCAACTGCTAAATAATTCCTGGAATGACTTG